AAAAAAAAGAAACAAACTATTCAACATCAGGTTTAGGTGTTTCAATAACTTCACATTCTAGTTTAATTGTTTTACCTTCATCATCTTTTAATTTTTTAAGAAATTCTGATAGTGTAGATGCATTTGGATCTTTAACCTAATAAAATAAAAAATCCTATTCAGAAATATTGAAAAACTTCATTTCTGTATACTTTAGTTGGTTTAGTTGTATTAGATGGCGCTGCTTTTCTAGCTTCATTTTCTGCTGTAACACAAAATTCATAAATATGATCTTCGACTAATGATGGTACTGTAAAATGTGTTGATTGACATGATGACATATTGACTGATATCCATTTATCAATATTTCCTTCACGTTTTTCAATCCAATAACTAGTTATAGGACCACCACCACCATCAGAAGTTGGTTTCTTCCAATTAAGTGTGGCAGTATTATTTGTCATTCCAGTGATATCCGATTGTCCTGGTGAACTAGCTGGTTCTATTAATAATTAGGAAAAAAAAACACTTTTAGAAAAAATAAAACGAATCATATTTAACATACTGAATGGAAGTTTAGTCGTAGTTGATGCTGTTGAACGTAATGGTTCACTAGTACCATTTTCATTAATAGCCATAACACGAAAATCATATTCATGTTCAGCAAGTAATGATGGAACAGTAAATGTTGTTTCTTTACCTGCTTGTGTAGCTGGAATCAAAGCATCGGCTCCTTTTGATGTATCACCTCGTTCAACAACATAACCAGTTACTTTACTATCACCATCATCTTTTGGTGGCTTCCATGAAAGTGTTGCACGATCTTTCGATACATTTGATATTTCAAATGGACCAGTTGGAGGAAGCGGTGGTGCTATTGTAAAAATAACAAAAAAAATTTTAATCTCAAGTTTTATGATAGTTTTTAATCATACCAATGACTTTAACTTTCAAAGGAACATTACATAATCCTGAATCATTAGCAACATTAATTGCATATTTACCAGCATCTCTTCGTTCAGTGTCTGAATAAGATTAAACATAGAATTTAGAAAAGAAAAAAAAACAAATTTAATAAAATACAAACCAGGTATTGTAACAACAACAAAATCATCAAATTCTTGAATACGTACACGATCATCATCAGCTAATGGTTGATCATCTTTTTAACTTTTAATGTTTCACCCAATCGAACACGTTGTTTTTCTGAGTCACGTGTAAGTTTAGGTGGTGCTAAAAAAGAGACAATAGATAAAATTAGATAGTAATGAATTGAAACTCTATTAAAACATACTTTTAACATGAAATCTTCCAATTAGTGTCACTATCCCAAGCTTCATCGAATATTAATGTAGATTTTGATTCATTTAGTTTTGTAGCAATACGACAACGACCTGATGATGATAATTCTAAACCATTACGAAATCATTTAACTTTAGATGCTGAATCAGCATCATATCTTATAATACAACATATTCTAGGAAAATACCTAAGCGATAACTTTTCATTCATCACTTGGAAATTTCAATATTAGTTAAAAGAACAGAAGAAGAACGAATCAAGATAAAGAAAGGAAAAATACCATAAGAAAATATATGTGAAAAAAAGGAGAAAATACCAGATAGATGTATATGTGAAAGGATAGCGAACAAATAGTTTATATGTTCGCTTACAGCTTCTGATCTCGAAAACGACTACACTAGCTAAACGAAATTGATACTAAAGTAAAATTGTAGCATCCTTCATGAACGCTGAATAAGCTAAATGTTGTATAGAACAGTGAAAAAAATAAGATAATCACTGTTACTATTGATTTTTATCGTCATCTCCTGACTAAGACTGTACATGTATCATGAATAATGAATGTTAGACTCAGTGAACGTTCATACTCTAACAATAACATGCTTCTAAGCAGTTTTTTAAGGATGTGAAAGTGCGATCAAAATGAAGGACCAACATCCACACTCTCACTCAAAATATTCTCGTGCTATTTTGCCGTATGCTTAGGTGCGTTTTTAACATGAAGAATCGAAAACAACATCATTTAAAATAACTGTTGAATTTTTGACGATGAAAACATGCAATATGTAACAAAAAGTTTTTTTTATCGGTACAGACCTAGTTTGAGATTTCTCCACTGATATGATAATAATAAAATGTGCTTAACTGCTTCATGTAGTAACAGATATATTCCACCAACAACTTGTGGCAAACTCCATCATTGCGGTTGTTCGTATCTACATTACAGGCTCAAGGACGTTTTTAACGACTTGACTCTTTTCTCAGTGTAAAGCAGACGATATAATTTTTTTTTCTTTATATACATTTCATTACACAAGGTAATATCGGATTGGCTGAAAGAACAAAGATAAAATAGCAATCTTTTTTCAGAGAATGTCTTCGAGTAAGAAACTAAGCTACTCTTCCAGTCCCGACGCTTTTTTTTCTGTTCTACAGAAGCACTAAAAAAACACTCTCTTTGCGTCCTGTTGTTACAATTCATTCTGTTTGAAATCTGGCGTCATGACTGCTAAATACTATAGCAGAAATAAACTTGTGTTAGAGTGTAACTCAAAGAGGGAGATGAAGATAAATGATAAGAGTTAATTTATTACAAAGAAATCAGTAATAGACATGTAAGCCAAGCAATCCATCCACGGCGACAGCGGCGGCGGCTCGGAGTCTGAAATTTTTTTAAAAATTCAGTGGCGGCTTATCTGGATGGGATGGGCATGGGTAAGGACGTGGGTGTGAATGTGGATGTGGGTGTAGATGGGTGTGGGTGTGGGTGTGGGTGCAGCACCTTCAAGCACATTCCTCCTTAGATGGAAGCAAATAGAGAAAAACTAAGATGATCCGAGAACGAACTGACAGAAGTGAATAAAAAAATTTCAAAAAAGCTTTCTATTAGACGAGTTTGCTTATGAAATCGAAAGGAAGAAAATGCTTTCTCTCACAATACAATTGTTGTTTTTTCTTTCTTTAATCTAGATGCATGTGCCCCTACTATTAAAACGCAAGTTGTTGTTGTTTTTTAAATATATTTTCTCTTACATTGTACATGTTGCTTAATCGTCTATTGGAGAAGAAAAGCTAGTATAACCCATGAATCAGTGATGACGACGATTATTTTTTTTTAGTCCAGTTTGAATATTGTCTTTCGATGAGTATATACAAGGAAAGAATTCTTACAAATAGACAGTCATATCTTTTTACAATAATAACATTTTACCATAATGGAAAATTCACCAAATACTATTAAAACAAAATCAACTGTTCAAGTAAGAATTATTATTAATTCTATTGTTCTAATATAATTTTCCTTCGTTTAGATTTTGTCGGTACTAATTGAAGATGGATCAATAGATCTACTTTCTCTCATAAAATGGATTACTCTCTGACTAAAAGGAAGAACATTTGCTATACATCATGAAGAAGCATCTTCAAAAACGATCAAAATGCTTGCTGGAGCACCTCAAGGATCCATCTTGCAGCTACACTTTTTAGACTACATATTTCAGATATGACAGATAATCATTCTCCAGACCAACAAGTGGTGAGTAATCTGAAAATTCAGGAGTAAAAGATTTTTTTAAGACCAAAACATTGAAATTTTACCAGAGAGTAGTATTTGGAAGAGAATAACTCATACTTATCATTTGTTTAGCCTGATGTCGATAAAAAATTTGAATGGCCACCTGTTAACAGAGCAGAAGCAGCGAATGTTAGTCTTGCTCCTGTTCCATCTACTACCCTATGTGTGTATTATGTTGTTTGCGTTGCAGTTGTGGGTAAGATCAATAAAACATTGTCTTTATTCTTTCCTAACATGAATCCTTCTATTTTAGGTGGCATCATGGAGTTGATCAGTAAGATACAGTTTTAATATTTTTTATTGTTTCCTATACTCCTGATTGCAATATATATTTTATTTTAGAAATTTTTATGTGATTGGAACAATCAATCGACATCCCGATAAAAACGTTTCGGATGTCGATATGACTTTGTTTTATTCAAATAAAATGGATATACTTTTCAAGTAGTTGCATTCATAGTCTAATTGTTGGTCATTGAATGGTAATATATACTTTTGGTGTGGGCGTGAGTATCTGTCTTCTCTTAACCCACACCCTTTATTCGTTTTGAGATATCATGCAAGATACGGACATTTATCAACAAATAACCAAGTCAAAGAAATTTGAATTATTGAAAATGTAAGTGTTTGAGTATTTTATAAATACTATACATTCATAATATATTTAGAAAAAGTAATTTGCTTCAGTCATTTCACGAATGCAGATTAGAGTTAATGAATTTAACCAATATTAATTGTACGTGTTGAATTTTTTTGTCATCATATATAAATATATATATATCTAATTTCTAGATGATGTCGACGACAATGAACATGAGGAATTTTTCTTTACAATCAGTGTGAAAAATGTTGATGAGTTCTTAAATGGTAAGTTTTTAAAGAAAAATATTTCTTTATATTGTATTACATTTAGGTCGTCTTACAAATAAAACAACAAACAAGAGAAAAAAATATTAGTGTGATTTAAATTACACTTCATCTCAATTTACTCTTCAAAATGTATACCTAAAAATTCGTTTTTACTGATTTGATTTTTGTTTAAAAGATTATCAATGTTCAATAATAAACATGCAGATATTGTTTTTTATTTTAGTCTAATACTTAAAATCAAATAATTATTAAATAAGTGAATAATGTCAAGAATATACAGGTCTATCGAATATTGTAAATAGTTAAAAAGAATAACGAATAATTGAAGAAGTCTTTTTTCACAATTCTATAAATCTATTTGAAATCAAAGCTTCATTTATTTCAACTACTAAAATATCTTCAAAAAAAAATGTTCTGTAAATTTATTGGGGAATAACAAGAGACTAATCATTTACAATTGTTCTCTACTAACTAAATCATTTTGTACTAAGTTTAAGCAATTCACTATTACCATTAATTTATTTTCAAAAAAATATAGGAGATATTATATATATAGAAAATATTAGAGTTATTCTATTGTCCTATCTAATATTTTCAACATCTAATATTCATGATTTTTAGTGTACGATCGATATTTAATCCATTCTCAATAACTAATATTCTAATAAGTAACATATAAATAGTATTAATAGTAATAATAATATGATGCGGAGTATTTAGAAACTCGTAAAGTAATTTGCTTTTTATTCTCGAAAATTTTTTCAAGTATATATAGATTAGTTGTTGATTGTTAGTTTTATTCAAGTTCTTATTTGAATCTACCCAGGTCAACGACTTTTAGTCGTAAATCGCGGTTCACCAGAAAAAAACGAAGATATACGGAGTGATTCATAAATCAGTAAGATATATGTTGTACTGAAAGTTTTTTGTGTTCTTTATTTTATATTGTTTACATTTATGTGATATTTAGCAGTAGGTATACTATATTGCAATATATTCTTTTCATTTAATTTAGATTGTTATTTACATATTGTCGAATCGTAAATATATTTTTTTATATATCATCGAAAAGTATAGTATTTTTTCTTCTACTTAATTTAAATTATTATTGCTATATTACTGAGTAGTAAGTGTATTTTATTTTTGGTTCATTCCTTTGATATAATATAAAACAGCATATTGGTTTTAATGTATTTAAGATTATTATTTCGGTCTGGCTGTCTACTCTTTCTATTCATACCTACACCCTCAAAAGACTCAATCACGCAGTAACTTAATTTAATTAAATTCCATTTAAAAAAAATGATCCATCCCTCTTTTTTTGGAAAGAAAGAGAACGTACGACCATCAGCTTGAATTTCAGAACTCGGATCATATAATAGATACTGTAATTCTTGTACCGTGCACTTTTCTAACCGTTTAAATCTTGTGTTTATTCTTTACATTTAGATATTTGTTCTCGTAGAGCAAAAATTTCGATACGTTATCTCACTAGTGTGCACTTTGATCGAGTGCTTTTGATCTATACAATGTATGATGACATTACATATAGAGAGTGGTATTTTGTTATAATGTGGCATTTTCTAAATGATATGCCATTTTGTTATGATGTGGCATTTTTCTATAGTAGAATACTAAATATTAAATCGAAATATGACGCTTTGGCTTGTTTCTCCATCATCACCAACTGGTAATGATCGTCTCATTGAATTAGCGGGTATTGATTTGTGGATTGGATTATGTACTAACCGAGTATTCGTCTACCCATCTGACTTAAATACTGATCAATTCAAGTATGCACTAAGTCGTACACTTTCCTTGTGTCCCTTAGTTGCTGGTCGTTTCCTCTTGCCTGAAAAGGATCATTACTTTATCAAAATGTCGGACAATCCAATTCCGGTCACTTACACCGAAAACACGGAATTAGCTGCTTGGCCTACCGAATTGAATGTGATTTCAGATCAGCATAAAAATTATCTTGCGCCATTTATTGACGAAATACAAACTTTGAAACCAATTTATGGTTCTCAAGAAGAGCCTCTCCTTCGTCTGAAACTAACTTGTCTGAAGCAGAGTGGCGAATGGATCTTAGGAGTAAGTTGGGCACATGTATTGGGTGATGGTGGAGCTTCATCAAAATTTTTAAATACTCTATCACACTTTTATCAAAACTTGGATCCAGTCAAACCATTGCCTGTATTCGAACGACGTTTATGGCAAGAAGACGACGCGGATCAATCTCTTCTGCCTATGATGAAATATTTGGCTCATGCTGGACTATCAAAAGACAAGTACAAACTTTGTAGCCATTGGGAAGATATATACGAGCAACTGAACTTGAACTTTTCGGGCAAACAACTAGCTAAACTACGTGAGTTAGCCGGTGGAAATAATGTCACTATTCAAGATTCACTTTCTGCCTATATATGTCTTACGCTGAATACACATTGTTATCTAAATGATGCACAACGTAGCATTCGACGCATCAATACATATGTCAACTTTCGTGGTATCTCCGATGCGATTGCTCCAGCTGGAGTCATTGCAAATACTATATTTTTGATGCCATCGGATGATTTTGATGATGGAATGTCTTTATCACATATTTCAAAGACAATTCGTCAATCGATTCTTCGATCACGTAATCCAAAATTTATGGAGCCTTGCTTGGCTACTGCTGATGTATTAATGAGAAGAAATGCACGTGAAAATTTTCGAGCATGTGGGCAATTTTCGAATGAAATGATAGTTAATTCTAATTTACGATTCGATTGGGCGAGTCTCGTGGATTTTGGTTATACAGACAAATGTCGTTGTTACGCGCCACGAACGAGTCCATTGTTTCTTCGTGTGTATCGTCTTAATCCAATAAAAAATGGAACTGCATGGTTACCACGTGATCGAGATGGTGTCGAAGTTGCTTTTGGAATTGAAAAGGAACTGAAAGAAAGGTTTCTTAGTGCATGGCAAAAAGATGTTGCCGAAAATTTTTCAAACGTTAGACAATAAGAGATTAAAACTCATTTTCAAATAATATGAATAAACTGTCTAGGATGTGAGGATTAGTTGATAGCATTGGACTAATGTTTGTTTTAAAAAGTTGCAAAAGAAAACGGAATATCTGTTGAGTATGACTCATTCGACATCCTATTACGTATATTACAGCCAATGAGTTACTATTGAATGTCTAAATTTCAACAAGAAAGAAAAAAAAGAGCAAAATAGAAGGTCTACACATGTGAGTCAATTTACATGGTAGGAAGATAAGAAAGGGATGAAATCAACTTATTGACAATGTGTTATTACATTTTTTTTACAAGGAGTAATGATACACACAGAATAATTTTTCATTAAACAACAATGTTGTGTTGCACTCGTAAAAAATCATACAAGACAAAAAATAATGGTGCACGAAAAGCTGTTATTGTAGGTGACCAGAATTGCGGTAAAAGTTTTTGATTTTCATTTTGTACTACTCTTTACACTTCACATATTCAAGGGAGATCTAGGTTGATGTGGGCCATGACTGGAGAACAATGGTCTGATAGTTATGGTAGACCTTGTTACGATACTTATAGCGCTAAAATTAATGTCAACCAACAATCAGTAATTAATAACTGATAGTATTTAATTCACCAGTTTTAATTTTTGCTGCATATATTTCAGTTCGAGCTGATACTAATCGAAGCACCTGGATCAGATGACTACGATCGACTTCGACCACTTTCCTATCCGAATACTGATATAATTATCATGTGTTTTGCCGTCGACGATCCTAATAGTTTCAAAAACATTACTGAGGTGACTGAATCGTATTTTCAAAATTTGTTTTGATAAAATTATTTTTGTTTTAGAAATGGGTGCCTGAATGCGCTCACTACTGCCCAAATGTACCGATTATTCTCGTCGGTCAGTATAACTTTATATTAGAATATAATGACAGATTGATTTTCATAGGAAACAAGAAAGATTTACGAGATGATAAAATGAGAACAGAAGATGTGATTCATTCTAAAGATGGCTTTAAAATGGCTAAAATGATCGGTGCTGTTCAGTATCTGGAAATTTCGGCGAAGACAGGAGAAGGTTCGATTGTTTTCATTTACTCAGTGTATTTTTATATGTTGAAAAGTTTTGAATTTAATGCATGATTCAATTCTAGATTCTTATTTGTTTAGGCATTCGCGAAATATTACAGTGTGCAGCATGTTTTATTAATTACAAAGTCGCAATAAAATGATCTATTAATATCGGCTAATGGGCAATACAAATACGATGATATTTTTAAGTATTCTGTTTTTTTCTGAAAAATAAAAATCATTGAATTAACTCAATTTCGTTAATCAGATACACAGAGAAAAATATCTGTTGCTTCTATATAGGGTCTTATATCGTCAACAATCGTATAAACCATTATATACCTTATTCGAAACTATAACAATATTTCCTTTTATCAACGTTTTAATAAATTCTTTTCGATCACATATTTAGCACGATTAAGTTATTTATTGTTCATTTTTATACAGTTTAAATCATTTTAGAGGTTAAAATGTTTATTTTTTGAAAAATTTATTGATTAGTTTAAAAGGACGTTGGTCAATTGAATGATTAGCAAATCTTTCAAGCAGATGATGTTTTTTCTTTCCAAGCCAAATACAAACAATCTTATCACCTAAATGACAGGTTGTGTTAATTGTGTTGTTATCAAACCAATTAATGACTTTACGAGAGAAATGTGTATTTTCACAGTGAAATCTAATTGTTGATAAATTTTCACATCGTTCAAATATCATTGGTATCTTATTTAAATGATCTATTGGGATTTCTAAATATCTTACATGACGAGGAAGAATTGAATAAATATTTTCCATAGTTGAACTTGAATAATATATGTGTGAATTGTTTTCAATAATAAATGAAGAGAGATTATCAGCTTGTTTCATAAAGTTGCCAATATTTATCCATATATCTTGATCATATTCATCAAAATACATGCTGTAGATTTTCATTTGAACAATTCGTGAAATATCGATAAATATAGAAAGTGATTGTAATGAAAGTAAAGGCCAAACTTGTTGTGAATTAATATTAATCTCAGTCACGTTAGAAAATAATGGTTGGTATGTTATTATTTTTTGCTAAAAAACACCAAATAAAAACTTAGTAACTAAGAGAAATATTGAATAACGTACTTTTTCTTGAATATCATCTGTTAGTGACTCAGTCCAATCCAATTCCAATAATTTAATATTATCCATCATTGATAGATTATTGTTCATTATTAAAGGATAAGTAGATGATGAAATCTTTTTTGGTATAGGTATGTAATATAAAAAGGGTTTACATATTGGCAATGAATACAAGTGAATACTTTTTGGATTTTCAAAATGATATTCACAAGTAACAAACCATTTTTTGTGTTCAAGCCAGAATGATGTTTGAAATGAACTAATAATTAATTCAGGATCTGTCGAAGATAACATAGTTGATATTGATTGAGTAAAATAAAATTCAAATTTATTCAATTGAGGTAAATTTCTTTGAATAAGTTCTTCCCATTTTTTACCATCAAGCATTCCTCTTCCACCAAACAATTTTAGATGAATAAGTGATGGTGTTAATAAAAGAAATGATTCAAGTTCATCGATGACTATACAAAAATCTTTGAAAGTTAACGATGTTAATTGTCGAAAACGTAAAGATAAATTTTTATTCATCATTTTTGGGAATTCATTCATAATGAGTGTATTCAAATTAGAAGAATTTTGAAATATCTTACAAAGATCATCCATATATATACCATTATTTATTGTTAAATTTCGAATTGTACAATTGACTGGCCATGAAATCCTTGATTTTGTCTCAGGTCTGATATATAATTCTAATCTACGAAAAGTTGACTGTGAAAGTGCTGATGAGAGAAAATTGAGAGTTGTATCTGCCCATCGATTATCGTATATTCCAATATTGAATGAAAGTGAAGTAAGTGTATTTAGATTAATACGTTCTAATACAAAATTAAATTGTGATTCATTGATATCAAGAGTTAAAGAATGAAGTCGAGTAAATTGTTTCAGATGAGTCAGAGAAATAAATAAATCTGTTTGATTGAATGTTCGATAATTGTTTAAAAGTGTCAATGATATAACATGTTCAGGATTTATTAATCGGCACAGAAGAGGAAATTTTGATGTTGACATTAATTGAAAATCTATACTATATCGATTATAAGTGCTAGCAGCTGCTCGAAATAATCTTGATACTACTCGAATTGACAATAAAATTGTTTCTGTATCGAGATTATCGAAAATTCGATGTAGCATTTCCACTGGTAGTGCTCCAATCGGTGAATTCATACTAGTTGCCATCGCTACGATTAGAATAATACTCTATATTGTAAACGTTTTAATATATACTACTCTTCAACCCCAACATACGATTATTTTTGTACATATGTTATAAAACAGTAATCTAGCCTCTGACGCAAACGAAGAACAGAACAGAAAAAATCTCTATGACGTATTTTTTATCATAAATCATATAGTCATATATGGGAAAAGGAAAAAGAATTGAATAATCAAATCAATTGAATTAAGATGTCACTTTTGGTCAAACATTTTCGTTAACATGCTCTACTCGCATATTTCTCATCGAAGAAGATTTGTTGAACATGATCATAATCACTCCTCGCATCAATATATTTTTAAAATCTTAGTAATAAAACGGTTGTCAAAAGAATAATCACTCTAGAATGGATAAGAAAATGGTAGTTTGAAGAGAAAAATCTATTTGAACAAACAGTTGATTTAATATGTGAAAAGTTGTAATGCTCTGTCTTAATGAATATGATATACAGACTTTTTCATAGGTTTCGGTCCTATCTTTATTTTTTTATATGTTGACTGTATATGAAGGTGGTTGCATATTGAATATATGAATTAAAAATACTGAAAAATATTTTTTTGTTTAAAGTCATTTTTTTGACATTGTCGAATTTAATATTTATCTTTGTTGAGCCATATCAACGTAGTATGTGTGTGGGTGTTGTTCTTGCCAGACACCCACGTCCACACCTACACCCACACCCTCACACTGCAATCATTACAGTGATGAATTACTATCTTCATCTGAATAAACAAAACAAGAAATCGATCGATCATTCTTTATTCACTGATATAATAAATGAATTTAGTAATTTGAATCATAGGATTTTATTACAAGTACTTTGTCAATTATGTACACATTAATATCAACATGAACAGTGGAAATTTTCTTCACGTAATAATATTATTTATCTTGAATTATTATTAAATAAAATATGTGATCAAAATTTCACATTAAAATAAATAAAAAATAAATATTTGAATTGATCTTAACATTTAAATATAATTATAATCAAGATCATATTGATAAATGCCTATTCAACAAATTTTAATATCATCAATCAAATTGATTTGTTGAATCCAATTGAAATTATTAGGATTAATAAATAATAAACAAGATTTTGAATATATTATTAAAGATCATGTCGACTTTTTATAAAATGGCCTCTTATAGAATGAGATTTGATCAGGAATATTTAGAATTATGAGAACGTTTATAGAAACAAAAGTTTTTTTTTCTTTTTTTAATTAAATGAAAAAACTGTAAAAGAAAAGGAATGAGAAGAATTATTCTTCTTATACAACCGCTGATTAACAGACGAGTCAGTTAGATTCAAAATCTCAAAGAGACTAATATTTCAATACTGAGAAGAATTTTTGCACATTCACTTCGATATAAAACTTGATGGATTACATCGTTTTCTTTTTTCTTCATATATTCAAACTAATCCTTTAGTAGATAATGGCATTCTACCAGAACATCGATTAACCTTCATATTCATAGTTTGACTCTATATCAGATGATTCTCTTAGTAGTACTTCTAAAAAGCGTTAGTTTGGATATACATCAATTGTATATTGCTTCTGAATTGTTTAGACTAGGGACCAAGACGAAGACTTTTGTACATTAATTCAATAAGCAAAGAAAAGAAAAGTTTTTCGAATGCATAAAATAAATATATAGACTTAGTGCTGAACTTTATCATAATATTGAACAAATATCTCGTCATCATCTATCAGCACAATCACTTTTAAATGTAAAAAGAAAAGAAAAAGAAAATTTCTTTAATTTCGATATTTGTTTCAAGCCTCTTAAAATCTGATAGTATTGAATGTTTTCAAATTGTTTGATCATTTTTGTCAACTTATCATATTTCATTAATTACTTAATAAATAACAGATCATATTGATTCACCAAAAAATAGCCAAGATAAAACTATTCTTCTTACAAAGTAAAATACAATATTAACTTAAATAATTTGAATTCTTTTTATTTTTTATTAAACATTATTTAGATTTAATCGATAATTCATCATTAGTAGTAAATGAACGAAATTTAATTGAATTACAAAATATTTATGATTTGTTTTCATTATTGAATAAAATATTTTCTTATCTAGTTTGTCATCATTCAAATCCTATTAAAATTATTCTGTCAATTCCTAATTCAAATCTTCAAGCTTATAAGAATACAAGTAAAGTAAGAAATGATTTATTAATCTATTATCAAGTTTCTTCTAGTTAATATCTTTAGCATTAGATCTTCAAACTGAGAATAAAAAAATAAAAACGATCAATCTATGTTTTATATTTGATAAAATTCATCTTCAAATAAGTTTATTTTCTTATTTAAACTAATATGAAATGTTTTAATTGAATACAAGACAGAAAAAAACAGGGAAGTAGAAGGCAAATACGACTAGAGAGAAGAAATAACTATGATCAAATAAAAGATTATTTTCATTAAGTGATATTTGGTACATATGGCAATGAGCCACCTTTACCAATATGCATATCTATACAAAAAAATAAAAATTATGATAATTAAAGTAAAAGATAAACGCACCTTCCATCATTTTGAGATGTCCTGATATTTTACCATATTCTATCGCTATATCAGTGACCTTATTTAATAAATCAGCCCATTCCATGGGATCATTTACATGAGAACAATTGACCAGATTCACTCGAGCACTATCAAGCTCTTTCTTGAGTTCTTGCTCTGTTTGTTGGTGTTTATTAACTAAAATCGAAAAACAAAAGTTTAGAATTGTTATCTTAAAATTCATAAAAATAAAAGAAGAATAATTTATAATTGATGAGAAACAGCATGTATCTGTTTATGCATACTTTCTAATATATTATTTTTCAAGCAACTTCTTGCAAAAATTATTTTTATACTTTTTCAAGAAACAAATCAATTGCCATCACTTTTATTTTCTAGATTAAACTTTAACAATAATTTTTTGTCATTTTCTTTATATAGCATGTTGTTTAAAGGTCAATCGATTATATCTACAATAACGCCGCCCGGCACAATCAGATACTGTTCATCCTTATCGAAAAAAATCATTGTACTTACCAGACGACGACGAACATGACCGCCTAACCGTGAAAAATCAGATATTAAATCTTGAGGGTGGGTGTGGGTGTGAATGTGGTTGAGGATAATGTGCTTTTTTCCCACACCATACCCTCAATATAATTAAAAATGAATGTATTTATTTTCATATACCATCTTCTGTATATGGCAATGTACCACCTCTTCCAATATGAAGTTCTATATAAAGAAATATAAATTATGATAATTAAAGTAAAAGATAAACGCACCTTGCATTGTTTTCAGTTGTTCTTGGATTTTGCCAAATTCTATCGCTATATCAGTGACCTTATTTAATAAACCGGCCCATTCCGTAGGATCATTTACATGAGAGCAATTGCCCATATTCACTCGAGCATCATCAAGTTGTTTTTGCGCTTTTGTTCTGTTTATTTATCTTCATTAACTAAAATCGAGAAACAAAAGTCTAGTAAAATAAACGAATTCTTTTTAGCTTTCTCAGTTGGACATAGTAAAAATATTCAAATCGTATCTTACTTAAAAGCTCCATTAAATCACCTAAAAAAAGGATTCAAGTTTGGGAAGAATAAAGATAATACTTAATTGATCTTCCTCACAATTATACAGCCAACGGCATAATATATCCATGAGGTGGTTAATGGTGCAGGATCAACCAAATCCACAATGCCTACTATGTTGACTGGAGGTTGACGTGGTTGTGGTTGAGCTGCTGGTGGTGGTGGTATATTGGCCATAAAAGGCTAAATAAACCATAAACATGAACTATTCTCTTCTAAATACTACTCTGGTAAAATTTCAATGTTTTAGTCTAAGAAAAACTTTTTTTGCTGACTTGTGAGATTACTCACCACTATTTGATCACAATACTTTGACATATCTGAAATATAAAACGTTGTTGAGTAACAATATAAACAAATTAGAATAGTAATAAATGATATGAAACCGAAATGGGCAATGGAAGGAATCCAAATTATACACAAGGAACAGTCTATGACAAATCCATATGCAGACAAAGAGTTAAAGTTGCATCATACTACTAATTGGCATCAATTCTTCTTTCGAAACAGAAAAATTTGATATTCAAAATGAAACATCTAGTTTTTTTGCAAATGTGATGAGGGTGTGGGAGTGGATGTCCATTCACACCCACCCTTTAGAGGAAAGAAATAGGAAATAGGGAAGAAAAAGATCACGTATTAGTGAAACAGAGAAACGGGGTGTCAATCAAAAGGATGTCCCTCACTTTCCTTAGCACATCATATTTTATCGTGATGACAGTTACCTTATTCCATAAATTTATGCAAAGAATATGATCATGCACAGATGAGCAGTTGAAGAAGTCGAGTCGAGCATCGCCCAGTACGATCGTCCTGGTCATCGAAAACGGTGGTTCACGTGACTGTTGCTTTTGTGGTTTTGTTCTGTGTATTTGTGTTTATTAACTAAAATCGGGAAACAAAATCTAGAATTATTATCTTAAAAGTGATTAAAACAAAGCAGAATAATTTTACCATTAATGGGAAACAGAATCTATCTATTTATGCTTTCTAACATTTTATTTGTTGAGTTACTTTTTGCAAGAATGGTTATTATAGTTTTTTTCATTTTCTTAATATAGAATATGTTTTTTAAAGATCAATCGATTTTTTCGTAATGATCCCGTTCGATACAATAGAATATCGTTCATCCTCAACGAAAGAGAATCATTTTACTTACAAGATGACGACGGCGAATATGTCCTCCCACAGATGCAAAATTAGACATGAAATGATTGTTAAATGAAGGTGTCACGAGGACGTATACGCAATGAAGATGGATGTGGGTGTGCGTGCTAGGTTGAATTGGATACTAATCATAAAACTGGCTAGAAAAATTGGTAGAATTTGTCTAAAAATAATCAACAGTATCGATTATTAATCAAAGAATCATTATTCATAGCAGACCATAAGCCTAACTTAAATAGAATAATGTGCTCAACACCTCTAATAATCTACGCAGAAGGTATAAAAACAAAAAAACATACAGTCAAAATTAAATCAGTACTGAACGCACTACCTGAAGGGGAATGACTAATATTATAAGCTCTTATAACACTGATTTCCTCCATGGTGGAGGTATCTTTAAGTTTCTCGTTGAAGAATCAACAGATAATTTCTTTTCTTCTTCGTTTTTTTTGTTCTTATAAATCATCAAACATATGTCTAGATAATGATAGAATAACTACCGATTTTTTTTCAAATCCGTTTGTAACAATACTTACTTTCTTATTCTTTATTTTGATAGTATGTATCGTAGTATTTTTAATTTCAATATAGTACCACAATACATTGAACAAAAAAAGACATATTTTGAAGGTATGGATGTAAATGTGAGTAAGCGAGTAGATTAAATATCCCCACTCATACCGAATCTCATGATGGCATATAATAATTATGAATCACAAATAGTTTTTCTTTTTCAATTGAAAATTTCGTAGTTTTAGTCATTGAAAATACGTTTATTATAATTTCTGTTAAAATAATTTAAGAAGCTTATTTTTCTTAATAACCGTTTGTATATCTACTACATTTCAACAACATATAATTGTATTATCAGATACTTCATTTAGAAAATTCTGTCCATTGTTTTTAATTTCAATAAAGATCAAAAAAATAATCAGATGAAAATGGTATATAAAAAAGATATTAGGCATTTTATGGATTTGAATCGGTATTGTATGCTTTTCTTTGGATTAACCAATCCTATTCGAAATGTAACTGCAGTCGTACTAGTTTCACATGGATGAATTTGTTTGATTTTATCTATTTCTTTTGTTCTGCATAATATTATTTTCGAAAATAACCACGTGAAGTTTGCCCTTGAGCGACAACAAAAAAACACAAACATTTTAATTCGTCTATAACTTGGAAAAAACCAAGTAACTGTCTATATAAAGTAGAACGGTGATCTTTCTTTTCATTCAAGCAACACTACCTACTGACAAGTTCAACTTCAACAACAAGTTATGACAAGACCAGACTGAGCGAATCAAAATCGAATCAAAATGCTGCTGCATCATCCGAATCAATGACACCATCAAATATTCTTAAACGACGACGACATATGGCACACAATTACCTTCTTCTATGGGTGGATACTAGTATCGACCAAAGAAACGAAGATTATGAAAATACATTAAAACAAATACGAACGATTACTGGTCATATCAATGTCTTTACGCAACGAGATACATGCATTGACTTTCTTACAAATGCTCAAGAAGGCATCACGTTTGTTCTCATTGTCAAGGATACTATGTCTCAACAAATAATCCCCCTTATCAATGATATTCCTCAGTTGGATGATGTTTATATCTTCAATGATATCAAAACCGTGCATGAAGAATGGACAAAAAAATGTCAAAAAATCAAGTACGTTCATACTAACATTGATGACATATGTCAAGGGTTACAATCGGATATTAAACAATACCATCAAAATTCGATTGCCATCAGCTTTGTGACAGTAAATGACATGAAGTCAACTGATAATCTAAATCAGCTGGACCCGACTTTTATGTATACCCAGCTATTCAAGGAAATTCTTCTTGATATGAAACATAATGAACAGGCTGTCAAACACTTTATTACTTACTGTCGAGATCATGACTGTGTGTCACCAAAATATATTGCCCGTTTTGAGAAAGAATACCATGCCCAAATAGCTATTTGGTGGTATACTTTTCCATCGAATATCTTTTCTATGCTCAATTATGGCCTTAGAACAATGGACGCTGATATAATTATTACTATGGGATTTTTTCTGCGAGATTTACATGAACAAATTCGACAGTTGTACGAACAACAGGTCAATAGTTATGGAAGACAACCTTTCTTAGTTTATCGAGGACAAGGTGTTTCAGAATCAGATTTTGAAAAACTTCAAAAACCAAAAGCTGTACTAATCTCATTTAATAATTTCTTGTCCACGAGTAGAGATAAACATGTATCTCTCGATTTTGCTCGATGTGCGTCAACAAAGCCGGATACGATGGGCGTTCTTTTTATAATGTCCATTGATCCTTGTATTCAATCAACACCGTTTGCCTCCATTAAAGATATGAGCTATTTTAAGGAAGAAGATGAAATTCTCTTCTCAATGCACACCGTTTTTCGAGTGGTTGCAACTAAACAAATAGGCAATAATAATCACCTTCATCAAGTTGAATTACAATTAACATCGGATGATGATCAACAACTACGATTACTTACTGATCGGATGCGAGGAGAAGCTGGTGGTGGTACTGGACGGCACAGACTGGGTAACTTATTGATAAATATTCGTCAACTTAATAAGGCTGAAGAACTTTATAACGTATTGCTCGAACAGACATCTGATGAGGCTGAAAAAGCGCTTTATTGTGGTTGTCTCGGATATATTAAACATGGTCACGGTAATTATGAAAAGGCTCTTTGGTATTACGAACAAGGACTTGAAATTACACAAAACGGTCTTCCTCCAAATCATCCAGAGTTAGCTAATTTATACGACTTGATTGGCAACGTCTATAAAGACATAGGAGAGTACTCGAAAGCACTTTCATTTTACAAAAAAGCATTGGAAATTCGAGAAAAAACTCTTCCTTCAAATCATCCTCATTTGGCTACTTCATATAACAATATCGGTAATCTGTATGAGAACATGGGAGAATACTCGAAAGCACTTTCATCTCACGAAAAAGCATTGGAAATTCAACAACAAACTCTTCTATCAAATCATCCTGATTTGGCTACTTCATACAGCAACATCGGTTTAGTGTATGACAAGATGGGAGAATACTCGAAAGCACTTTCATCTCACGAAAAAGCGCTTGAAATCTTTCAAAGAACTCTTTCATCAGATCATCCTGATTTGGCTACTTCATACAATAATATCGGTAGTGCGTATCACAGCATGGGAGAATACTCGAATGCACTTTCATCTCACGGAAAAGCACTTGAGATGTATCAAAAAACTCTTCCTTCGAATCATCCTGATTTGGCTACTTCATACGACAATATCGGTAGTGTCTACGACAACATGGGAGAGTACTCGAAAGCTCTTTCATATTACGAAAAAGCACTTGGAATTCGAGAACAAGCTCTTCCTTCAAATCATCCTCATTTGGCTACTTCATACAATAACATCGGTAGTATGTATTTTAATATGGCAGAGTACTCGAAAGCACTTTCATTTTACGAAAAGGCACTTGAAATTCAAGATAAATCTCTTCCATCAAATCATCCTGATTTGGCTACTTTATACAACAACATCGGTTTAGTGTATAAAAGCATGGGAGAGTACTCGAAAGGACTGTCATCTCAGGAAAAAGCACATGAAATCTATCAAAAAACTCTTCCTTCAAATCATCCTTATTTGGCTACCTCATACGACAACATCGGTAATGCGCATTATAATATGGGAGAGTACCCAAACGCACTTTCATTTTACAAAAAAGCGCTTGAAATTCAACAGAAAGCTCTTCCATTAAATCATTCTGATTTGGCTACGTCATACAACAACATTGGTAAAATGTATAAGAATATAAAAGACTATTCGAAAGCACTTTCATTTTCCGAAAAAGCACTTGAAATTCAAGAAAAAACTCTTCCATCAAATCATCCTGATTTGGCTACGTCATACAACAACATTGGTAAAGTGTATAAGAATATGAAAGACTATTCGAAAGCACTTTCATGTTATGAACGTGCTCTGGATATATTCCATCGTACATTACCTCCAACTCATCGTCATATAGAAATTGTGAAAAAGAGTATTGAAAATATCAAAAAGAAACTATAAAGAATAATTGATAAATAAACGAAGATTTTGTTTACTTATTTTTGAATTAATTCTATATTTTAGTTGCTCGCGTGCACATACAAAAAACAACTCTGTAAAGAATAAAAACGTAATGGAGAAAGCCGACTGATATGATAATACACTTACATACGTATTTGTATAAATGACCTTCTCAGGTATATTTATATTTTTTATTCTTTAAGAGAGTATTCTCTGTAATAAAAAATCGCAAAAAAGAATAACTTACATGGAACTGAGTTGTAATAGTGTTGAACGAGGCCTCGTATGATGAAGAAAAAGAGTGTGGATTGCGGGTGAGGGATGAATATGAGTCACAGTGAGAGCAACACTCGCATCCACACCCTCAAGATTTTATATAGATAACAGCTAATTTTTGTAACAAAAGAACATTGCAAATATTTATCAATCTTTCGAATCATTGAAAATCCCCTCTCCCCAATGAATAAGCCTGGTGATATATATTTATTTCCGTTTAAAAATTAATAAACATTCTAGATCTAATAGAAACAATTGATATGTCTAAAAATTTTCACGATGACATTCTATTATAATTAAAGAATTACTTTTATTTTGAAAATTCAATATTTAAATTTGTACATTATATTGTATATAATAAAATTATTCAATGCAATAGATAATTTTCAATAGTTCATGATAATATGAATTATTTTTCTACACCTTCAATACGTTCGCTGATTGTATTAAAAATTCGATCGAAAATTCTTGTTTGTTTCCCATAATTCTTACCACTTTTTCCATATCGATGATGTAAATCATGATCTTCAACAGTAAGTTCCATTCCAAATGGTCGGAGTATTTCACCAATAAGTGGATGTGTCCAGTAAACACGTGTACCACTATGACCCATTGCTTCAACATAGGCAAGAATACATTGAGCAATCCAAAATTCATGTACTAATAATGGCATAACTAAAGATGCAGCTAATGGAATGAGAAAAATTTCGATAATTTCTTGTAAATCATCGGCAAGAATTGATTGAAGAGGTGTTGGATGTTTTGTAGAATGATGTTTACTATGATATTTCCAAAGAAAAGGAAATGTATGAACTGCACGATGATAGAAATAGAAGAAGAAATCTAAAGTAATTAACCAAATACCAATCTTTATTGGAAAAGCCCAAGAAATAGTATGACCAAGTGATGGAGGACTATAACGATTATATCCACCTAAAATTAGACCACCACCAGTACGTGCCAATGTATAAATGAGAATACTTAGAATCAATCGATATACATATTTATCAGGTACATAATCACGTGGTCTTTTATATTCATCAAAAGTACCATAGACATCCATATAATATGTAATATGTTTAACTAGTCTTATAATAAAAGTAAAAAAAGCCAAATGATAGAAAATAAATGCTACAATTGGATGCCATGTATGAAAGAAACTATTTTCAGGTATAATATAATACCAAAGTGCTTGAATAATTAATGCTGGTGCAATCATAACAATTAACCATAGACGCTCACGCCAAACATTAAGATTAGGTGGTGGATTTGTATTTTGTGGTTGAACAACATAACATTTATCACTAGCTAAGTCAAGTGTAGCAAGACGCTCCCAAAAATTTCGTTTTTCATATGGTTTTTGAACCCAATTAGCTGTTGGTCGAAGTTTATAAGTAACATTTGAAGCAGGTACATGCTGTAAATCTACATTAGTTTCAGCATTCACTGGTTGCTCATAACTTGCTTCTGTATAAGTTGTTTGTAACATCGTATATATCTCAAAGAAAAAAATTCAACACTTGATTTTATGAAAGAAAGTTTATATATATATATATGAAGAAACAATTATTTTTCTTTTTCTGTTCTTTTCTGGCATCTTCTTAAGCATTGCACTACGATGACGTCATAGTTCTCCCCTTCGTAATGCAATGTTTAAGAAGAAACTAGAAAAGAATAGAAAAAGAAAAATAATTGTTTCTTCATATATGAATATATAAACTTTCTTTCATAAAATTCAGTGTTGAAAATGACTCTATGAAAGGTGTCGAAAGCTTCACTGTATTGTTTTTTCTGAAAAAAATGATTGACGAACTTGTTTGCCATGTTATATCTTTATTCAATTATATTTCATCAAATAATATAATATTTCAAGTATGAAAAAAAAAATAGACGCATTACAATTTTTTTGCCAATGTGAGTCATATTTAACAATTCCAGCATTTTCTTTCTGTAACATCTTGGAAAGTATGACTCATATTCTCAATTCTTCTCTATTCTCATACATTTGTCCTTCGTTGACTTATTAGTGGATAAAAATCTATATAAAATACGGAGAAAATGAATAACAAAAAAATAATAACAACTAAACATGGAAGTTTATAAATAATTGTTATCTATTTCCGTTAATCTTAGTTCCAAAAACATAAACAAATTACATTATGTGCTTGTATATAGATAAAATGCATTGTAAATTGACCTTACCTTATGAAATGAGTAACTTAGTATTTAGTCATATTTGATAACGTTGGGAATACGAAAAATATAATAATTGATTTATAGTCGGTCGGGGGGTAAATTCTCTTTATTCAATTAAAACATTTTCCTAACCACACACGAAGACAAAAGCAAGTGAATTAAATATAGTTTAAAAAAACCGTACAAATTGTGCAAAAATAGTGCAAGAACATGTGTGATTTTAGAAAAGAAAAACAAACAAACAAATATTATTTATTTAGTCTCTTTGTCGTTATCCATTTTGTATCGATGAGGAGAAAAAGAAATTAGCACCCTTGATTATTTATAAAAAAAAAAAAACGAAGACAAAAGAAAAATCACCGGTGAGGCTCATTAATCCAAAGAAATCCTTGTTAACTTTCTGTTGATGTTGCTCCACCGCCTCCCGGTTCATATTGACGTCGAAAACAATCACCAACAGGAAAAAAATCCCATTTACGGCTTTGATACATTTCCCAAACATAACTTTCCTATTATATATATATATAATTATATTTATTCGATTTCAATCATATAACAAACCTGTCCAGTATGTTCTGTGTCAGGTTTATTTAAAAGATGCGTTAGAAAGAACATATAATTTGCAAAATTATGTTCTGCTGTTGTATGTGTCTTTAAATAAATAAATAAATCAATATTCTTTTCAAACAAATTTTTGTTTTCTTTCTTACTTCAAACCCATGCGGTTCTTTATCAAAATAATCTTGACCAATACCACAAATAAAACATTTTGACTAAAAATATCAATAATTATGATTAAATATAGAATGTTAGACTGATTACTTCAAGTGTTTCTTTGACTGAATCAAGCTGTTCTCGAAGATCACCAAATGCATCAATAATCAAACCTTGAATAATAGCAAGAAGAATAACGATAATAAAAAAGAAGAATGTTATATCAAAAATAATTCGATATAATTCCAGTGGATCTCCATTCGGAGATTCAAGTTCATCACCAATACCACCACCAGCTCGTATACCAGAATACAGATGAAATTTAAAACACTAAAAATTGAAAAGTATAATTTCTACTCCTTTTTTTTCTCCTTTTTTACAAACTTACAGTAAACATATCTTTACAATTTTCTTCTTTTTCTTCATCTTCTTCTTTGGTATAAAATTTACGGAAGAAATTAAATGCAATAACTGTATAAAGATAAACAAGTACAGCCATTAACATAATTGTTAAAAGTAACTAAAACAAAAAATTTCAAATAAAAAATTTTATCAATTTTATTTGAATATATATTTTTACTTGTCGACCATTATGAGTAATTGATTTCAATATGGTACTTAATGCTTTAACACTTATTGCAACATCCAGTAAATGAATAGCAAAGACAAAATATGAAAAATTGCCAATAACGGAGAATATAAAGTAGAAGAATACATAGAGAAATGACTAAAAAAAAAATAAAAGAGTTAATAAATTTTCCCTGTAAAATACTTACATTATCAGTAAAAATAACACCCCATTTCCAAACTTGATAACGTATATCAATAGACTGAATTCTAAAGAGATTTCTTGATTAAATATTTTTATCTTGTTTTATACATACTTTCCCCATAAACCAGTTTCAACTGGTTTAACAATTTCAAATTTTCCAGGTGTGTCATTTTTTTCCATTCCCAAAAATCGACTTAATTCATCATAATCAAATTGATCGGAATATTTATTTCGAACTTTTTTCTTAACGAATTTATCCCAATATGAATCCGGAAATGATTTTGAACTTATAACAAGTTTATGCCATTCACGCGATAAATATGATAATATCCAAGAACTATTTTCACTCTGTTGATCAATTAACCAAGCACCTTCAAATTCTAATTTACGAGCAATTTCTTTTTCTCGTTTAAATATAACCAAAGGTACCTAAACGAAAAAGATTGTTTTATTGAAAAAAATAGTTCAATTCATACTTTAAGTTTGTAATAACTGATCATCATTAGAAATGCAATCGATGAATGTAAAAATGCACTTATTTGTAATAAATAAACCATATAGAAATTCTTCGGATCCATCATAATTACTTCATCCTCATCTTCATCAATACGTTCGATTGCATCCGGTGGAACTGACTCAGTTGCTGCTGCAGCTAATGGCATAGCCTATATTTTATATAATCATTTTTATTAAATTCATTGAAATAGTTTATATTACTTTGTAGAAAAGCATTAGAAAATTAATTACAAAAGCAAGACAAAGAGCCATGAATTTTAATTGATGATAATTTCTTGCTACTAATGCCTAATGGTAAAGAAAATGAAATTCAATCTTCCCCAAATATTCTAGTTTTTTTCTTTATTTACCAAAGCTTTCTTTCCATAATCTTTTCTTGCTGGTGGTTCTGGTGGAATAAAATCGTCATCTTCTACTAGACCTGCTCCGTTTTGATTGATTATTGAAGGTTTTTGTTGATATTCAGCTTGAATATTAACCTTTTAGAAAAGAATAAAATAATTTTTCCCAAATGATTCTTAATTTACTTGAAGTGCTTGTTTAGATTTTTCAATAACATTTGGTGACATATGTATTGTTGTTGTTAATTGTGGTTGATGTGGTACTGAAGCAGTTATTGAATGTTGATGTTGAGTATGTTGAGTTAATGGAATCATATGTGTTGAAGTAGTCACTGATGATGGTGTTGCTTGGCCAAGTGATGAATCAATATTATTGACAAATAAAGGTTTTTGATCGGAATCAAATGTTTGAACACTATCAAAATTAAGTATATTTATTGATTCCTCCATTGAAGATATTCTGAAATTTCCAAATGAAATTCAAACAGAAATCATCCATATAACTATTCTTACTTATTATTTGGTTCTGAATCAGAACTAAGACCAATACCAAATGCATTTATTGTTGGTGCTGATTCTTCAGCAGAACTAAATCCAGCTTGTGCAATATTAACTGATGCTAAATAAACAAATGATAATTCTATACATATTATATGAATGTTTAATAACTAACGTAAATGAAGATCACGTCGTTTTGTTGGTGGTGGTAAAGCAACTCTCTCTTGTTTTACTTCTGGTTGTTCTTCTCCAGCCATTAAATTCCAAATACAATATGTTAATGTTCTATTAAAAAGAAAAAACAAATAATTATCGTTCTCTATTTTGTATAAAATACAAGCGACACATTCATACAAGACAAATACATTGAAATTAAATAACAAACCGATGTTTTTTATAATTTAATAAATTATTCTTATCGATTTTTTTGATCAATCGTTTAAATAATCTTTCCAAATAATAATACCATCGTTTAGGTAAAAAATATCGCATAATAAAAAAAACATGCAAACTGAAGAAAAATTTAACACAACAAAATCATGCATGAAACAATGTTTATTGACATACCTTAAAGCGTAGATTAATATTATAAATAATAAACGCATAATGTAAATGAATAGAGAAAATAGACTTTTAATCATATCTTTAAAGGTCATTTGACGAAATTGATGATATCCATTACGTATTGTTGATGGACGAAGTAAATGAAATAGACCTTTTATACCAGACCAAATGTAAGATAAAGCTAATTTAACTGGTTCATTTGGTGGTGGTGGACTGCCTGTTTCATCATCAGAAAATGGAGCAGTTTGAGTTTGTTGATCATCTTCTTCACCACTAAGAGCAACTGCATGTTGCATCTAAATAATATTATTTTAAAACTCTATAGAACATAGAATTAAAACCGAGAACTTACTTCAAAAATCGTATCTTCACAGAAATTAATAAATTGTTCTAATTTTTCTTTATCATCTGTTTGATTAACATTAAAATGTAAAAATGCTTTTTTCGATTCCTAAATAAACCAAACAAAATACATTTACATATCTATATTACACAAGTAAACAAACTTTAATATGTGGTTTATTCCATTGTTCAATATTCGATTCAGTTATTTCAAAATATACACGTTCAATATAACCAGCACCACCTTTGATTTCAATTCTACCAAGAAACTCTGAGAAATATGATAGAAAGCTTTTCGCTTTATCCATTAAACGTTGTAAACGTGTATCATGTGGCATATGTTCAGATAGATTGATTAATAAAACAGCCATATTGAAACCAATATCCTTGGCTGGATTATGAAAACGTTCAGTAAATTCCATAAAATCAATTTTTCCATCTTGATTTGTATCAACACACATTAATATATAATCAATATCTTGACTAAATAAAATAAATAAATAAATAAGAATTTGATTTGATTTTTAAAATTATAATAACATTACTTTGTATACATCTTTTGTGCTTCCATAGCTTTACGAAATTCTTTTGGTGAAATAAATCCATCTTTATTTAAATCAAATTCTTGAAATGCTTCGGATGTTGTTAAACCTTTCATTTTAAGAAATATATCAAAAAATTGTAGTAATAATTCAACATTTGATTGAGATTCAATTAATGTATCAACCATTTGTTTACCAACTAAGAAATGAAAATTTAAATATTCCTATCGAGTATCTAAATAACTTACTTGGACCATTGAGAACATTGCCTAAAATATAGAAATGAATATGAAAATATTTAAAAAAGCTGTTAGCGCAATCCCTAATGGGATTAAAAAAGTGAAACACGATCTAACTGTGTTTCTACCTTCAAGAGGATAGTTTAATTGTATCATAATTTTTATATGTTGAAGTCATTTGATTATTATTTTAACAGTTGATACAAAATTTAATAGAAAAATCGGTTCATATAAAAAACTACTCACATATCTACCTTTCCTAAATAGTATGAGTTCAATAGTTTCATTTTATTCTCCAACGCACTGTTCATATCTATGATAGTTACAGTCTGTGATAAAGTCAAAAGAACATCTGTCATTCACGGTTCGTGATGCTACGTTAATTACCCATATGAAGGCCTTGTTAGGGTCTGTGATGAATCATTAATCCCTAAACTAGAGATCAAGTTGGTTCTCCTAGTCTAATTTGTCTCAGAGCAGAAGGTGTGGATTTGAGTCTCGCGAAGGTCATCTTTTTCCCCATTTTGTCTTTCTATTGTGTTCTTTCGCTTATGTCCCTTTTATGGCTCTGATATGGCCCTAACAGGCCTATGGTACCCTGTGGGTCCTGTCTGTAACGAGGTCAAAAGAACATACGTCTGTGGCGGGGTTAAAAGAACATATGTCGGTCATGTCTGTGGGGGGTAGTGGGTCCAAATTTCTACCCCTAAACACTTCAACACTCCTTTTAGATCGTGTTTCACAAAAGGAAAGATTAGATTCATTATGATAATACCTTCAAGCATTGATAATAACATAATAATCATATCTTTTTGTAATTTCATTAATTCTCGTAATAATTCAATTTGCATTGGATCCTAATTAAGAGAATTTATGATATAGAACAATGAATAAATGAATCTTTTACTAGAGATAATTTCCGTTGCATATGTGCAAAAATATAAAGAAAACCTGATATTGCATCCCATAAACGACTGTTAGCCAATGCTAATTGATTTTGTGGGCATGGACCCTGAATATATTCAGTTAATGTATTAAAAACTTGTTTAGCAACATTAATAGCTCGACAAAAATTTTCTTTTCCATGTGCATCAACTGTTTCTTTTCCTGAATAATGCCAATAGAAATCCATTAATGATTCCTAAACAAACAAATTTTTTAAATGATAAACTTATAGAGAAAAAGAAATTACTTGTAAACTGAGTAAATAATCAACAGTACAAATAATAATATTAACATTTGTATTGCTTCCAGGTTGTGAACGAAGATAATTTTGAAATTCAAGATTATGTCCTTCACATAAAAGTTGACAAAAGCGAAATAGTGAAATCGTAAAATCAGCATCATGTAAATTTTTTTCACCAGCCATTCCTTCCGAACCAACGCCTAAATAAATATTCAGATATAATTATTATTATGATTTAATTATTAATTAACATACCAAGTACTTCTGCTTTAATACAACGTTCAAATGTATCAAGATCAAGTACACTACAATTAGCCATTAATGTTGCTAATGATGTAAAACATCCAACATCTCGTGTTTCTTTTAAATAATCCAACATTCGCTACAAAGAAGATAATTTTAAGAAATAAATATTAAAAAAAACAAAGAATTTTTACTTTTTGAACTTCACGATTACCACCATGTAATAATGATATACCAAGTTGTAATGTTCGATTAAGCATTTCATTATTTTCACCTAAATATATTTATTTGTAAATACTAAAAAAATATATTTTATAAATAAACCTTTGCTTGCACTTATATATAATAATACAGTTTCAGCAGCACCTCGATTAGCTAAACGATTTTGTTCATAGAGTAACTTTTGTTTTTCCATTTCTTGTTCCTAAATATCAAACGAGAATATATTATCATTAGAATAATAGATTTGTTTTAATTTACCTGAAAAGATTTCACTTCTTCTGCTCCATCATCATCATTATCTTCTTCAATAACACAACTCTAGAAAAAAAAACGTCTTCAAATTATTCTGTTTGTTTTCTTTTTCGAAAATTTACTTTGCTCATTATAGTTGAATAAGATAAATAGACAATATCATCTGTTATTGAAAAAACTTGTGCTGTAGTTGCAGCTCGATTTAAACATTGTAATAATTGTCTTAATGGATCGGGTTTAATCGTCATTGTCAATGTTAATACTTCTGTTTCAGTTTCACTCTCTTCTTTAATTGTTGTTACTTCTTGATCATTCACTTCTTGATATTCCTCCTTAAAATATGAACAATTAAAAATTTCATAATCAATAAAATTAAAATTACACAAAGATGTTCAATTAAACGTGCACGTGTATCTTCTTCAGCTTCAAGCCATAATTCTCGATAAGCACGTAAGAACATATTCATTGCTCGATGTCTTGGTACAGAATGTAATGGTGCCATACGAAAACAAGCCATAATAGCTTTTTTACGTTGAGATGAGACAAGTTTTCTCCATGTATTTCGTTGATGTGTTGGAGGATGATCAACAAGATTTAAACCAAATAAAACTTTAGCCATTTTTAACATATTTTTTATTGAAGTTGCTTGTGAATGTATTATACCAGTTTGATGAGATTTCGAACCAATCTTTCGATATAATGCACTTTGCCAATTATTTTTATTAACAATTTCTCCCTATAGAAGTTAATCATAAGATTAAAGAACAGGAAAGTAAGTAAATAAAAAAAATACTTGTTCTTGGGCAAAAAATATATCACGAAGAAATTCTTCGATGTTTTCTTCTTGATCACTCTATTTTAAACAAAAAGAAATTCAAATGAAAATAAATATTTATTTATGAAAACAAACCGTTAGATCTAAAACCATTTGTTCCTCAGTTGGATTTTCAATTTTTTCATCTTGAGCAGTTTTTGTCTAAAGAAAAAAACATATTATTCAAATAATAGAAAAACTCATTTCTTACGTCAATCATTTTATGTTTAGCTAATTGAACGAGTTCTTGTTCTCGTCCACCAAATGTATTCATTCCAAGTGGTAATAAACGTTTAATACAAGCAACACTTAATGATGTAAATTTTTCTTTATCCAAACGACGTTTTTTACGTTTTTGTTTTACACTTAATGCTCCATTATTTGATGCATCATTCGGACTTTTCATTGTTGTTGGATCTGATGTAGTTGCTGTATTCGTATTTGTTTGATTTGTACCACTTGGCATTAACATACTTGTATTATCAATCTCATGTTGACTTACAAAATTAAGTTCTTCACGTTTAAAATACTAAAAAAAATAATTTGAAAAAAATTGGCGTTTTGTTTTTATCTTCATACTTTTGATTTACACCATGTTGAAAAAACTTCAGCCATATCATTATATAATTTATTAGCAGATAGATCACCATTTTTAAGCCAATATGATCGATGTATATCAACAAATTTTATTAATAGTGGTCCAAATGCATAAAGATCACGAACGAGAATTTCATAATTCTAAGTAAAAAACAGTTTTTTGTAACTTGAATTCTTTTTAAAGTATCCTTTTTATTTACTTTCATTAAACTAGCTTCAAGATCTTCACGTTCAGATGATTCTAAACGAGTTGCATGTTTAAGAGATTGTTCTTGAGCATATAAATCTTCACATTTAGCTTTTAAACGTTGTGATACAGGTAAGAAATATGGTTCTAAAAGACTTGTCGATGAATTAAGAATAATTGATTGTGTATAGCCTTTAAAATATCATATAGATTAACAAAATTCTTTACAAAAACAAAAAATCTATTTTACCTGCAATACGTTTCATCCATGGTGCTTCAGCAGAATCAATATTATTATTAATTAGTTTTAAAATACTTCCTAAGATAGAATTCATATGATCTGCAGTAACATTTGTTACTTTTGGTCTATGAAAATTAAAATAGCAATTAATATTTATCATAATAATAATACAAAAAAATATACTCAGTTGATTGTTTTGTTTTCTGTGGACCAACTGACCACCAATGTGGTAAATACGAACAAACACACGGAAGAATAACTTCTACAACATAAGGTGCATCATCATATGTTGCTCTTGATTCTGAATGTTCTTCAATATCAGCTATAACTTTCGTCAGATGAGGAATTGTTCGTGCTATATTTGTCATAACATCTATAATTAATAGAAAAATTTCATAATGTTTTTTTTTCTAGTTTGGTATTTTTATAAATTTTACCATTAGCTTCAGGTGATAATTGTGAGATATTTGATGCATGTTTATTGTTACCATTAAATTCAGGTTCAAAAAATGCTATTGGAAAACAAGATGCAAATGAACTTAAACAATCACCAAGTAATGGACGATGACGATTTAATTCTTCAACAATCCATTCTCTACAATGATAATTTAATATAGAAAATAAAGCTCAAAAAATTAATATGAAGAAATTTACCGATCAACAAATTTTATTCCTTGTGTACCAATTATCCATAGAGCATTTAAAATTTTATAACCAGCTAATTGAATTTCATTTTCTAATAAATAAAACATTTATGATTATTAAACGGCTTACTCCATATATCTCACCGAAAACATCAACTCCATAGTTATTTTTTCCTAGATGATCAAGCATTGATGAAAGTACAGGTAGAAGCACCATATGTATGTATGAAAGACTCGTTGTTCCACGTTGTAAAGTTCCTTTAATATGACTAAAACGTTGTTGTTCAAGATTTTGTACAGTTTGATTAAGATCTTCAGCAATATTATTAAATAATGGTAATAATGATGCACGAACCATTTCTTGACTATTTTTCATTACCGAACTAAAGTTTTAAATTATAATATAGAAGATGAGTTATTTTTTTTCTTTTAATTTAAATCATACCTAACATCAATTGCTCGTACAAGAACTTTAAGACAACGAACAGCAATATTAACTTCATTACCAAAGGCACCGAATTTCTGTCGAAGTAAAAATGCCAATTTACAAAATAAACTACAACTCATTTCTTTTTCTTTCACTGTTGCATAACCGCTACCAGTTTTTAATGATGATGGTGTAATAAAATAATCTCGATGTGCTTGAAAATATTTTTCAACAAGTGGTAAAACAACCTAAATGGAAAAATGACGTATTCATTTACAAAAGATTTTTATTTACTTTTCCAAAGAATTTCACATCTTTAGTTGATAAACGATAACTTTCATGTAAGGAAAATTTCGAACTTTCTTTATAATTTTGCATTGTTGATGATGCACGTTCAACATATTCAAGTAATTTTTCTAGTAAACTATAGGCAAAACGTTTTTCATTTGTATGAGATGTATTTGATGCAGATAAAGATGTTGTCGATGTAATAAGCGCAGTTAAGGCACTACCTATTGGTTCATCTTCGACAGGTTTTCTAAAGAAAATTCGTTAAAACTAAAGACTAATCTATCAGTTTTATTGATAATTACTTGACAATTCGATAACCAAATATATTAAGATATTTCACAAGATCTTGATAGAATCTTAAATCTTTTTGTTTTTCTTTATCAGTTAATAGATCATATGGAACAAGACGAGAATGAAGACCACCACCTGAAGTATATAGATTGATTAGTAAAAAAAATGTTGAAAGAAGAATATTTACCAATAGCAGCAAGACGATTTCTCATTTGTCTAGCCCAGATTTCATGAGCATTTTGTGCTAAAGCTTCAGATAAGTCCTAAACGAAAAGAACTTTTAAGGTGTGGGTGGTTGTCACTTATTTCTCTTACCTGCATTTCACGATTCATTGTAACACTTGCAAAATCCATTGCTTTTGGTATATAATCAGGCCCAACTTTATCCTTTAATGAAAAAACAGAAAGAATTCTTATTTTTCAATGATTTTGTAATTGTAAATAGATTATTACTTTCTGTTTTTTTCTTTGTAATGGTTTTGTGGCAATACGTGTCATGCCAGTATCAGTTTTTTCTAAACGAAATTGTAATTTTTCAATAGATTTTAATGCTTCACGAATTGGATCTTCTAATTTCGCGGTATCCTAAATGAAAATTCAATAAAATATTGTAAAATAAATAAATAAAAATTCGTTACTTTTTTGTCAAGAATTTTATATGGTTTTAAATTAGGATGTTGTCGATATTTATCATTTATTTGTTCACCGTAAATCCAACCTTGTTCCATCTATATTCGAAATTTAAATAATTAAAAAAAAAATTTAAATAATTAATTTACTTTAGCATAAGACCATTGATCATGAACACTTTCACCGTAAGCTTTCACAAATTCTTCTAGTTCAGGAGTTAATACAACACTAAAATAATATATATTTATTTCAATAATTTGAATTCTTTTGTTATAACTAACTTAGATGTATCAGCTGGATTTGGTTCATAACTACGAGACATTTCAACTTTTTCTCGTTCATGATCCAAATTATCTTGTTGATTTATTGAATATGAATAATCCGGTGATAGTGCACTACCAATAGCTATAAATAAAAAAAAAATTTAAATATATTCCTCATTGAATTCTATTAAATCTACCTGTTAAACATGGAAGTGCTTTACCAAATAATTCTGGATCATAAGCCTATTATAAAACGCATATTTTCTTAAAATTATTCAACATGAAAATAAAAAAATTCATACTCGAGATGCTAATGCATCAAATATTTTTTGAAACAATAACATCGTTAAACGTTTTTCTTCTTCCGTAGCAGCAACACTATAATATCGACTACATCGTTCATACCATTGTGTTAACATCTAAATATAGAAAAGGATTTCATATAAAAATTTCTTCAGTATATATATTTCACATACTCTTAATGGTACAATCGTTTGATCAGTTAATGCTGGTACATCATGAACAAGTTTTCGTAATAGTGGTGTCATCATTGATGGTTTTAATTGACTAAATCATATAAAATAATAGACACATTTTATTTCTAAATAAGAAAATATTACCTAGCAAATGCAAGTAGAAAATCACAAATAATATCAAGTTGATTTTTTGTTAATGAACGACATTTTGATAACCGATAAACCGTATGTAATGTTGATTCAAGAAGTGATGAACGATGATCACAATCATCAAAATAATGTGCATGTGCAGTCATTATTGTTATAACACTAGTACATAGATAACGATTTAATGCTAATGCCATGTCACTTTCTGCAATTGCTGCCTATGAAAACAAAAAATAATTTATATTCATATTTTATATTGTTCTTGAATTTACCATATCAAGAATTGTAGCAGCACGAATATCAGGAAGAAATGCATCTTCAACAAGACGAAAGAATGTTTCTTGATCGGGTATTCCATATACACGTTCAAGAAAAAGTATGATAGACATTTTGTGTGCTGGTTGAAGACCAGGTGGCATTGAATTGTCATCTAAATTAAACATTTATTTATATAAGATTGATAAGAAACAAAGTTTTAGTTTATAATACTTGGTAAGAGAAATTTTAGACCGAGAACACCTTCAAGATCATGCATTGAAACAAGACTTTTAAGAATTGATTTAGCTCGTATAGCATTTGGTTTTCCCATTTTAATTGTTTCTTCTGAGGGTGCACATCGACCTAATAATTCGACTAAAATAGCATAAAATGATAATTCAGCTGCACCCAAATCAATATATTCTTCATCATCTTCATATGGCAAACGAACTTGAAGACGATCACTAAAATTATATTAATAAATAAATAAATAAATTTCGATGGACAAAAAACAAACGAATAGAGAAAATTATTATAATTTTTTCATTTGGTTTACGTGAACAATAAAAAAATATTAGATAATAATAAACATTCATGCATTTATTTACGGCTACAAAAATAAATAAATAAAATAGAACAGAGAACGACGACTAAAGGTCGATACATATAAATGTATGTGCTGAGAAGGTCTAGTGAAATCAATAATTTGTGACTTAACACTTACGCTACAGCAGTACTTTTTGGTGTCCAACGGCTGCTACAAAATATTTAGTGCATGTGCAACGATACTCAAGTGAAATATATAATAAAGATTATTTAAATTCTAGGATTGATTTTCGAAATATCTGTTAAAAGGATGTTTATAGACGAAAAGATATCATTTCTCGATAAAAATATGTTATAGAAAGTTCTTTTTAATATAAAATACTGTGTAAATATTTTTTTTGTAAAAATAAAACTTACTATTCTTCATTTAAATTATGCATGCTTTCATCATCAATGATTTCTTGATAAGCAGCTTGTATAACAGGATCGTCTGAATTTTGTCGTCGAGCAATATAAAGTGATTGAGCAATACCTTCTCGTATTGCTTTAAGTAAACCACCACCTTCACCTCGTAATGCTGGACCTAAACAATCCGGACGACGAATAAGAAGACGAACAACTAAATCAGCATTTTCTTCAACTGGTTCGCCTAAAAGAACACAAGCGATCATAAATTACTTTTCGAAATATATCTTCATATATTCTTACCATTAACCCACACACAAAATTTTAGAAAATCAAGAAATCTAATAACACAAAAAAAAAATAAATTCAAAGGAAGTTAACATTCAACAAACCTTTCACCATCAACTGGATCCCAACCAATATCATGGTAACCTTGAAGAAATAATTCTTCATTTCTTGTTGTACCACAACGTGATAAATACGATGCTATTTTTTCTAAATGTGATTCACGTAAAGCTAAAGCTAATTCATTATTATCCATAACACTAGCACTTGCTACATCTAATGGTGCTGAACCACGAAGAGATGGACGTGCTTAAATAAAACATTTTATAGAAAAAAAAAGAAACAAATTTATTCTTAACATACAAAGTAACATAGAACTATTTTCTAATAAATAACTTAAATGTTCAAACATAGCACGTTGATTATGACGTGATGTACGACAAAAATAAGACAGAAATTTACAACATGTGGTTACAAGTTCAACTTTATCTTCCTAAAAAAAATAATCAAATGAAATATTGTTTTGTATATTTTCTATTTTTACTTTGGCTGGATGAATTTCTTGATTTTCTCCACCTTCATTTGTTTGTGCAAGACCTTCCACATCATTTGCTGATGCCATTGATGTTTGTTCTTGTTTACTTTTATTTAAACGATTAACCATAATAGCCATAACAGTTTCATGTACACAAAGTGAACGCATTAAATCTGGGTGTTGATAAAATACACGATTATCCATAATATCACTAAAGAAATAGATCATATCGTATTTTTTTCTAATTTAAGAATAATTTCAAATTACTTTAAACAAGCTATCATTATTCCTTCTTCATCTGAATCCATTTGAACAGTTAGAAGTGCACGAACAATACTTAATTTACGTAATAATAATTTTATATCAGGTACTGATTTTTCATTTATTATATAAGTTCGTTCGAGACATCGAGAGATCTATGTAAAAATGTAAGAAATGAACTTAGATAGAAAAATCTTACCTCTCCAATGCCATCGTATTGATTATAAATCAGTTTAAACATTTCTCGAATTAAAATTGGATCAGCTATATGTGTTGCTCGACCCCATTTAATAACTGTTGCTTTAATAACTTCACAGAGAGTTTCTTTAAATAATACAAAAATTATTCATTTAAATACATAGTTTTCGATTTTATCTTACTTGTTGGTTTCCACATTAATTGTTTTAGTTGATTATTCATTAACTTTTGATCAACTTTCTTTGTTAAAGCATGTCGTATAAGAATTTCAAGTAAACGTGAAAATAAAGAAACTTGTTCGACATGATCATTCTCATTAGTTTTTGTTAATTTTGATACATTATTATTTTCATCCGTTGCCTAAAATATTTTATCAAATAAATTTTGTTTTTTTTCGAAAGATTGTTTTTTAAACCTCAGCAACTTGTTGTAGAACAAGTAAATTTGAATGATAATTTTTTAACATATCTTTTATTTCTTCTTGCATATCTTCATTTCCAACAGGAGCATCATCAGCACCACTTTTAAAATCCAATAAAGCTTGCATCTAGATAATAAAATAAATTCATCAATTGTTTTTCAAAAAAGAATTTCTATTAATCTACTTGATCTTTTGGTGGACAACGAAATTCTCGAGTTTTCTTTGCCATTAATGCTGGTGGTAAACTTGATTCTTTTAATACACCATAACGTCGTTTTTGATCCTAAAGAATTTCATTCTATTTACAAGAAAAAAGAAGAAGTTTAAGACTTACAGATTGTAATCTTCCAACAAATTCTTCTGAAAATGCAATTGTACCTTCAATACGATATTGTAATTGATAATTACATAAATGTTGTAAAACATAACATAATTGAAGTTTAACTGGTTCATCTAATTTCATTTGTAATAGACCTTCATCTAAATGTTTATCACTATCTAATCCGAATGATGTTGGATCAATTAAATGTAATAATTGTTGAATATCATTGATTTCTAAAGTAAAAACATTTACATTTGAATAGATATTAGAATTTATTTATACCTAATAATCCCATGACAAGAAGTGCGTCAACTAATTGAAGTAATGGTCTAAAGAAGAAGAAAAATTAAAGTAGATATAGTGAATGAACTATTTACACAAGCCAATTTGAATAGGAACCACCAACTGGATCTCGAAGATGACTAGAATTTCTTCCAATTGCATCTGTTAAGGAATTCATAACATATTCTTTTAATACTACAACATTAAATGGTGGTGGAACAAGTAATTTTCGTTCACGGTCAATTTTAAAACTAAAATAAAATATCATGATATAAATTCCATAATTTTAAAACATAACTTACTCTTCTTCTTTAATTAATTTTGGTCTTACAGATAGAAAATTTTCCATAGCTGGTATATAAGTCGATTGTGCCATTACATGTTGTTGTTCAGCTGAAATTTGTGAACGTGATAAATGATTTTTTCGAAGTAAACTTGATAATGGAATAATAAATTCATTCGACGTTAAACTTCTATTTTATATAAAAATATTTTTTCAAAAATATCGAAAATTATTTTTATCTGTTTACCGAGCTTTAACATGTGGTTCAAAATGTAAAGCAATAAGTAAATTATGAATACCAATTCGAATAGCACCACATAAATCTAGATGAATTTATTTAATAAAATTTTAATTCATATAAAATATTTAACATACAAGGATTTTTTACACAATACATCAGTTGTTTTTCATCAACTAATTTGCATATTTCATGTGAAACACGATTATTCCCTTGAGCACATATAGCATTATAAAGTGTTAATGTATTTGAACAGAAACTAAATTTTTTATGGAAATTTTTATAGACAGAAAAACAAAGAATTTAATTAAATACTTTAAATTATCTTCATCTTCAACTAAACCTAAAATATCAGTACATCGATCATCTTCGGGTATATAAACTGCTTGCATTTGAACTAGAATAATAAAAATTTTAAAAAATCTTTGTTATTTTAATAGATTTCTTACCAGGATCTTCAACAAAAACACTCCATCCACGAACATCAGATAATTTTAATTGTTGACAACGAAGATTTGCATTAGGTACACGTGACCAATGACAATGAAGAAGTGATTGTAAATTTAAACGAGATGGTAATTGAGGAAGAAAACGTTCTTCACGATTTAAACTTGGAAATAAAGCAGCAGTTAATGGTAAACAATTCTATTATAGAATAACAATGTATTATTTTTATTATTATGATTAATCATACTTTAATACGTCCTAATTCAAATTGTAATAATTCTTTTACTGTTGGTTCAACAAATACAGCTGGATAAAGTTTAGTACTTGGTTCAACCTAAAAATAATAATACGCATTTAGAAGAAGTTCTTCCTTCACGATTTATTGTTTAGATTAATTAGCTTTCAAAGACCAGATAGTATAAAATATTTGTTGATAAACAATATAATAGAAAGGTCAAAGATATCGATAAAACGATTATTTTGACATATTTCCTAATGTAATATAATAAATAGAATGATTAACGACAAATATATTTATTAAATTCGATGATATCTTTATTCTCTTTCTCGTAGAGAAGAGTCTGGTAATCATAAATTGCTTGCTTGCTTGATTGTATGCCCGCAGGGTCAAAAAAACATCGAAAACCGATTTTCTGGAAAAGACATTTCTAGAGGTATTTCGGTGCGGGGAGTTCGAATCTGAGATCGCTTGGGTGACCATGGTAGGGGGATGGGTGAGAGGTCAAAAAAACATCGAAAATCAATTTTTCACGATTTTCATTTGTTTTTCCAGTAAATGTGAAGAAAATACATTTCTACGAGAAAGAGCTGAGCGAGTCCTCGGACGAGTGTTACTTGTCAATAATAATTGTTATTTTATCTAGACATTGAAAGATTATGAATATATACCTCAAGTTTTTGTGCTGATTCTTTTCCATTAACATAAAAAGTTAAATGACCAGTTGATACATCACATAAACATCCAATGACTAATCCATTAACAACACGTCTTGCAACACCTTCTTGATCAGGCATATTTTCTAATAAATCACTGGCACAAAACATATAAGCATCTTGTCTTTTAACACTTTCAAGTATTGAACCATCTTCTCCTGTTTGTGTTATTGTACAACGTCGAATAAGTTTAGATAATTTATTTGTTGATGTAGGTAATGTATCATCAGAAAGTATTTCTTTTTGTAAGATTGGTTTAAATCTTGACGTAACCCAACCAACAAATACTGATCGAGGATTTTGTCCAGGTAATATTCTAACTGCATAATAATATTCATAGACATGTTCATTAATTGCACGTATTTCATCATGATCAAAATCATTTGCTTGATCATTAAATTCCGCTTCATTGTCAGTAAATGATCGTCTTGTATTGATAGCATTCGATTGTTTTATTGTTGTTCCACCGGGTGTTGTTGGAGAATTTATTGTTGGAACTTTTAAAACTGATTGTGGTTGTACTTGTGGTGTTGTACTTGATGTACTAGTACTACTTACTTTAACAGTACGTTTTGTAGTTTTTCCTTGTGGATCGTTTGTTGTTGGTTGTGGTTCTTTTGCAAATCGATGAAAGAAATTATTAAGTTTACTTGTTGATGCTTTCATATTTGCTTTATTTAAACGATCCATTGATTCACTTGTTGATGAACCATTAGCTAAATGTGTTTGTCCATTTCCATTTGTCATCGATTGTGTTGATGCTGATGGTGTTGGACCTTTTTTTGATGAAGATTGATCACGAAATTTAACAAGTAAATTTGTTGGATTACGTCCAGATTTATTTGTTATAGAATCTGGTGAAAGAAAATTTGGATTTGTATCTGTTTGATTAGTTAAATGTGAATCCATTGTATCACTTGTACCATGTGAAAAAGATTTTGTTCGTGTACCAGGTATTGATGTTCCTGGAAACATGAACGCACGTTTTTCTTCTTGAGATTCAATATATTCTTGTAATGCTAATTGTCGTCGTTCAAGTGTTATATGTCTTTAAAAAATAATCATATATAGATATAATAGAATAAAAATGAATATACATACCTTGGTGTAAATGTATCATGACAACATAACGGTAGTGATAAACGAAGAAATTCAAATTCAACTTTTTCTAATGTTCCAAATAATCGTGAATGAAGTTTTATTAATGGTGGATTATCACGACTATAAATAATAGATTAAAAATTAGAAGAAAAAAAAGATTTGAAATAAAACTTACCTTGCATTAACACGAGTTAATTCAAATGATGGTGAATTTGATTTCACTATTTCAAAACGAGGTATAAAATTTGAATACCAAAATGTTAAACTTCTTGTCATATTTCTAAACAACAAAACAATATATGAAAAACAAAAAATTCTATTAAAACTTACACACAAAATGGTTCATATCCTTCTTGTAAACCACAGGATGTAAAATATTTTAATGTATTAACATCTTGTCCAAAATTTAAACGAGCTTTTTGTCCACTAAATGACGTTAATGCTGGTACAAAACCAATATCATCAACTTCTAATCCATCAAAAGCTGTTTCATTACCAAAATTATCTAACATTAATTCTCCATTTAATGAAAAACTAACTGTTTTATCATGTAAATCAATCATACAACCAACAACATCATTTTTCGACCATTGTTTACCAAATCCATCGAATACATTATGATGAAAACGTCGAGCATTTAAACCATCAAATCCATATCCATATGAATCTGTTCCAAGTGGATAAAATGCATCAAGTTTTGATACATTTGCCCAACCAATTAACATTCGACCTGATGTTAATAATTCAACTTCATAATACCATTTACCACGTGTAACAGCAAATGTTTGTTCAGCACGATATGTTCGATAATTTGTAAGACGTTCATTATTACCAGTATTTGCTGCTTCTTTATTACGTCGATTAAGATCTTCAATATCACCTGTTGGTGTATCAATTGTATAACCATATGCAAGAAGTGTTTTAACTGTTTCACTTGCTGTATCACGATTGATTTTTTTAATACTATCATCAACAATAGCATATGGAATTAAATGAGGACTTCGTTTTTGACGTGGATTCTATAATGAAAAATATTTCTTTAGCAAAAAACAAAAATTACGTCTTAATTTATTAATATATATATCAATTAGACAAGATCTTATCAATAATGACAGTATGATAATTCATTTCCATTAGAACAAAAAATCCTTGTATTAGAGAACAAAATTTATGTAATCAAAGAATAATACAAGGTCAAATTACAGAATGTAAAAACGTTATCTCCTGCAGGCCTCCATCTGGAATTCGAGATGATTTTTGACAAACATAAACAATTAAACGACCAAGACCTATTTACCTTAGACCAAATCTCATAGTGACAAGAAACAATTCATTCAATAGATCTTTTTTTTGTGACAAAATACTTACATCGGCTACTCCATATGTAAATCCATCTTTAATTCTACCAGCTGCCCAAACATTATGAGTATTTTCAGCTAATGTTTCAATTAATTCTTCCATTTTTGTTGATAAATTAATACTTGATAAATCTAATGGTTGTGGTTTATAACCATTCGATTGAACATATGCATTTGGTAATTTAACATATTTTAATCGTCGATCATCTGTTTTAATTTCAACACCAATATGATAACCAAGAGCTAATAAACTCCTTTTTGAAGAAAAAAAACAAACATATTTTAAAGAAATATTTTTCATTATAAATACTTTAAATTTTCCATAGCTGTTGTTGTATGATATTGTTTTTCAGTTAATGGAAGACGATCAAATGATGTTAAACATGGATGAATTTTTTGTGCATCATCTCGATACTAAAATAGATTTATTTTTCTTATGAAAAAATATGGTATTTAAAATATTTACTTCACCAAAATGCCAACCAGTTGACACTTTATTCATTGACCATAGCTCATGAATATTTTCAGCTAATCGATCACGAACATTTTCAAGATGTATTGGTAATACAATATGACTTGTTCGTACTGGTTGGGGAGTAAATGCAATACGATGTTGAAATTGTGTTGGACCATCAAGACGATTTCGTTCAATATTTCCAAATGAAAAACATGGTTCAATAGTCACTTTTTGTTTAGCTAACATAGCTTCATAAAGTGGTGCAGCACCTTCGGGTGGTCGATGAATAAAACGACCATGTTCAGCACCAAAAATAAATCGACAACTAACACGAGACGATAAAGAAATAGCTGGATAAAACATTCCAGTTAAATTAAATTCTCTTAGAAGACCTTTAACAGGTAAACCATTTAATGAAAACCACATTTCCGGAATATTTAAATCTAATAAACATCCAATAACATCATTTTTCTTAAAACCAATATGTTGCATATTATCAGTTGGTAAATTAACTCGATTTGACACATCATATGCTCGACCAGCAAACCAAACATGTCGTCCATCGAAACCATATGAATGTGTATTATCACCAATACCATTCGATGAAAAACCATCACCATGACCCGGTGATGGTTGAAAATCAGTTGTTGCCCAACCAATACGTATATGTGGTTGAACATGTGTTACTTGTTCAATATGATCAATAACAACTTCAAAATACCATTTTTTATACATAGATTCACCATCTTCAACTCCAACAAGAATATTTGGACGCATACTAAATAAAAAAATTTCAATTTAAGATTTCCGAATAAATTAGATATTGTTTTCTTTTTGTAATACAATCTTATATAACCTCGAAATTGAGGTCAAATCCAAGGATTTTATCTTAGATATATATATATTCTTGTAATAAGACACAAGAAAAAGCACTAACATGACCTTTGATAGCTATTTTGTTAATTTTATTTCATCATTTACTAATCAATAGCAGATTTTCGTAGGTAATTATTTCTTCTTTTTTGTAAATCTTTCTCTATTGTTAGTGAGCTACTAAACAATGTTGTTTGTCAATGTGACCATGATCTTTTCTAGCTTTTAACATTCTATCTCCAGTAGTTGTTATATCTTGATATTATTAAAAAAATAGCTGTTTTCTCTCTCTCACCATGCTACATGATCAACTAATGCCGTTTGTAGAAGAAGATCACGTCGTTGTAAAATATTTTCACAGATAAGATTTTGATTAGCACGAACAGCTACACCATTATTAACACAAAGTGAACAAAGTACATCAAGTACTTTTGGATCACGACCATTTCGATCCAATAAACCAAGAACTAAAGATTAAATAAATGAATAAATCCTATTTGTTTTAGTCTTCTAACTTACTTGCAAGTATATGAGATTCTGTTATCATATTTAAAACTTCAGGACTATCAACAAGTACACTATGAAGTACTTCTAATACACCACTAGATGCTTGTTGTGATTGTAAACGATTAACAAGCCAATTAAGTCGTGCACTTTGTGCAAAATTTGAACAATTTGTACGATTTCCTTTAATTAATGCAGCCAAAACAACATAAAGTTTATTTGTAATATTTTCGATTTTTTCTTCAACACCTTCTAATAATAATGCTTTATCTCTACGTTCACTAAAAAAATTTATTGCTGCTATTAATACTCGAATCATTCCCTAAAATAAACACAAAAACGTTTTTTGATATTAACAAAAGATATAGCATACTTCTTCTTGAAACAAATCTTGTCGATTTCGTAAAACTTTAAGACGTAATTGTCTTTCTTCATGATCCAATGTGAGCGATGGTTGAGAAAAAAAACCAATTAAATCTTGTAATAAAGCTTGAACAACATCACTTTTGCTTAATAAATGATTCACGGCTTCTGCATCAATCGACATTGGACTTTAGGAAAGAAAAATTTTATTAGAAAAACAAAAAACATTTTTTTCAGCATACTCTGTTCGATTAAATCTTCCAAGAATTGCATTACAAATTCGAATAACTAATGCAGTTTTTTGTTCTTGTTCTTGAGCTCGAACAAGACGAAAACAATCATCCATATGACCTTCAACAGCAGGGATAATCTAATTATATAGACAAGAACATATTTCTTGAATAAAATGATCTTTTTTTTGCTTACTCGTTTTTCTTCCACTTTTCCAATTCCTTTTATAGTTAATTCTAACGTTTCATAACTAATCCAAAGATCTGAATCAACATGACGAATAAAAACAATTGTATCACCATATTTTATTGTTGGTACTCCTAAATTTTCTTGTTCAGTTAATTCTTCGGCTTGTTTTTCCTAATATAAAAATCATTTTTTTGTTATTGCCTTCGAAAACATGTCATTCTATTATTCAATACCTTTGTCATTTTCATTTCGAAAGTGACAGCAATAGCACTGGCATTCTTCTTCGATATACATGTTACTTTTGGACCTAAGATATATTCAAATAAGAAAACAAATTCTATTTGAGATCTTTTTTTTACCATTTTCATCACCGATAACAGCTAAATAAAGACCTGATGTGACATGTCGAAGGCGAACTAATGAACTCCAACCAACAAAACCACTATACCATCTAATCAACAATAACAATAAGCAAATATAGCGTCTTCTTTTTTTTATAAATCTATGCGTTATTTCTTACTTTATTTTAAAACATTCAATACGCCATAATGATCGAGCTTGTTGACAAGCAGCACCACTTTTAATGAAGAGACTAAAACAAAAAATGAAATCGTTAACGAGTTTAATAACAAGAAACACCTTTTTATCTTTGTATCTATTCTCTTGTGTATTTATGTATTTATTTATTCAATCAGTGACCTTCATATGATTTGTATTATTATTCTTAATATGTGACAAATTAAGAGCAAAGTCAAAATATTATTTTTGCAAGAAAAATTTTTGTTTTTCTGTATGAGATTTCTCTAGAGAATTGAGCTTGATTTTTCAGTGAATCGTATCTTTTGTTCGAGTTTGACTAGACAACAAAAAAAAAACAAAAATTTCTCACCTTCCAGAATCATCAATAACTTGAGAGTCTGGTGGTGGTGTTGTAATACAATGATCCATATTTCCATGTACTATTCGTATAACATCACCACCAAGAACAAATCCGGGATTTTTCACACGTGCTACACCACTCGATATTGGTACTAAACTCCATACTTGTTGACGAAATGATGCATTTACTCGTCCACGTTCACTTGTTGACATATATGCATGCTAAGAAAAAAAAAGAAAATATACATCAAACTTTTTCTTTTAGTAAAATTTCATACAAGATATCGTTCAGAAAAAACTGAAACCAATATAACATCATCATTGAAGCGCACTTTTTCACCTTCACTTCTTTGTTTTGATGCTGGATGAATAGTCCACCAACAAGATTCGCCTAGAAGTTATATAATATACATAAAAAATGATATTTACCCCTTTGTTTATCTAAACAAACCTTGTGCATCTTCTTTTAAGCCTACATCAAACGCGAGCTTGTCATTTGATGTACTTGTCGATAGACAACTCAAGTACTAAATTCAAAGTATAATTTTCATTCGTATTTTCACAAAAATATTATTATTATTGTTTTTACCATTTGACTGTGATAGTGTCGAAGAAGAACAGCATGACCATATAATAATGTTCGAAATGTTGTTTGACCTCCTTGGCTTGCTGACGACTTGAATAAATATAATTTTTTTTACAATAATATACATATTGATTTCAATAAATAAATAAAAATTTACCTGTTCAGGTGAAGTTGTATTAACCATTTCTTGTAAAGCTCGAACTGATACAGCTTGTTCGAGTACGAATATACATGATGCCAAATCAGGACAACAAACCTGATATAACAAATCAAAATAGTTCTCATATAAACAAACATACAAATGTCAAAATATCATCACATCAAAAAGAACAAAGCTGAAATATATACTTAATTCTTTTTTATTTATCCATTCGGATACAAACACACAAAGCAGGAAGAAAAAATAACATGCTAGGCGGAAAAAAACCCTAAACAAAAGCGTGACACATGCAACGAAAGTAGAGGTATAACTAAATCGATAATTGTGATATCAAAGGATGTCCATGAATTATTATTATCATCGCATATCTTCTACCTCATTTGATATATCTTCAAGATAACACATTCGATTTCCAAATACTTCGCCCGATAAAGCCATACGTTTTACACCTGATACAGGTACACAACTTAGACATAAACGATCTTCCTACAAAATCAAAAGATCAAATGTTGATTCATATAAAAAAACAAAATATTAATTACCGTTCGCATAAACTGAACATCATCATCTTCAGCACCGACCATATGTTCGTCTGCCATTGTTAGTTTTTTTTTGTTTGTATTCTTATCGATATATGTTCAAATACATCATCATCATATTAATCATTTCGATCTTTAATAGAACAAAAATATGAATTTTCACTTCCCCTATTCTTTCCTATTTCTCGAATCAATTGAGCGAATATATTAAACCACCAGGAGTGAATGAACCGGATGTGTTTTGTCTCTCTATCGATCTATCTTTCCTAGGTTTTTTTTATCTCTCTGTCTCTTTACTTCTCATGCTTGCTTTCGTCGATCTAATAAAATCACGAGTATGTGTTGCCGACCAACAATGACAAAGGACGAGAAAGGAGACAGAGGGAAGACTTCAAGGGCAGATGCATGCCATACAACGCGACAAGATGATAGTAAGCTCTATCTCACCCGCGCGCGCGTTCGCTCGCTATCACTAATAGTTTTAGATGATCGACGATATGCACAGAAGAGCAGCGGCAACAGAAAAAGAACATGATGGTAGCTAACTCTTCCGTTAGATATATATATATATATATATACATAACAGCATCATCAGAAAGAAACAACAATTACACTCTTATCGTTTGCAAAAAGAGAAGAAGAAGAAAGGGAAAAAAAACTAAAAAAGGATAACATCATCATAAATCAATGCTAATGAAGTAACTTTACTTGAGCATTTTACGAAATGAGTAGAATTAAGGAAATGATTAATCTTTAACATTATATTAATAACAACACATGAAAGATAGTCACTTGAAAATTGAATAGATATAAAGATGGGTTAGAAAGATCAAATCGAACAATAGCAGCATCCTAACGAGAAGAGTTATCTCATAGGAATAGAAAAGAAAGTCAATAACGAAGAGATACCGTTGTATCTATCCGACCTTTTTTCTCTCTTAGTTAGAAGAAAGAAGAAAGACATATCTTTTCGAGAATGATGCGTGTATATGTATATGCTTGCGTGTATTGCCATCGACAAGAAGAAGGCCAAAAGAGAGTGCCATAGTAAGAAAGAAGAGAGATCTGGTACGAACTGATGAGAGAGAATCAGAAGAAGAAGACGACGACGACGACGAAGAAGAATCCACTAACAACGCCAACCATCAGTTATCTGCCCATATGCTCTAAGACGTAGAGAACAGGATATGGTGACAACAGTTGTTGTTTCTAACATTGTTGATGTTGTTTAGCAAAAGAATGCAATGCATAATAATTCACACTACCGTCGTTAGAACGGCGTACACGCAATGAATTGCTGATAATCAGTGTTACAAGTATGCCGAGAAAAAAAAAAGAAGGAATATTGAAGATGAAAAGGATTAAATGTTCCCCGACCGTCTCTATACACGGTCACACACACACACATACATTGTTGTCAATGTTAGTAGTTAGTTAGTTAGTTCATTACGTTCATTTCCGCTCAATGATGATGAATGAAAACAAAATACCCTTGCGCACTTCTATCTATCAAGAACTGATTATTAACACACAATCTCATATTCTAGAAAAATATTGATTTAAAGAAAAGAATGTTGAGAGTTAAAACGTTTTGTTTTTCTATATTGTTAAATATTGATTGATTTTAATCAATTCTTTTGATTGACAGAATGAATAAATATATATATTATAGAAAGAAAAAAAAAAGATTTTTATATTTAAATCAGTAATATATATATATCCTTTTCCGATATATGATTATCGAGAGGTCACTACTAGTAATCTTCAATTAATTCTATTTATATTTGATTAACATAAATATGTTGAATAAGTTCAATAAATGATGCATAACTCATTGTTAATAAATTCATATAGATTTTTTCAGATGATAATGTTGAAATTAATTGTTGCTGTTGTTGTTGATATTGTATAGAAAATGAATTAAAATGTGTCTGAGATATGAGATATGTAAAATAATCTAATAGATCTTTATCATCTTCAATTTGTAATGTTATTAATGTTTTTAAAAGTTTATCATAATCACCTGTTTGAATCGATATCGTTCGCCAATATGTAGGTATATAGAATGAATCATTTTTATTATTATTTATTAGTAAACAAATATCACTTTCTTCAATTTCTCGATCACTATCATCCATTTGCCATCTAGTTATATTTTTTTGTATTTTAATAAAAGATAAATCTGAGCGATTTAAAAAATTTTCATCATTTATTATTATTTGAAGATATTTCGTTAGTTTTTCAATTGTTATTTGATCAAGTCGATTTAAAATTTTATCAGGTAAATCTATACGTGAATGTTTTATCTCATAAATCGACCAATGTTGAATTAATGATGATGATTGTTGTTCTTTATGACGATTACGAATTTCAATTTCGATTTTAAAATTATTTAATTTTTCTATATCATAAATTTTTAAACAAACATCCGTATTTTCTAAAGGATAATAGAGATCAATCGATGATGATTGATGTGAATGTTTTTCATTTATGATAGATAACATATTCAATTTCGTGTTTAATGTAAACGGTGTAATTAAGGTATTTTTTTCTGATTGAGTATCTGCATCATTTAATGTCAACGGATAAAACAATCGCCAAACGTAATATTCTTTCTCTGACATTTTGAAATAATTGAAAATTTCGATGAAAAAAAAAGCGCATAAGCTAAGCAAACATGGAATGTGTCATTAAGTTATTTTTGTTATTTAAATGCATGTTTGTTTAGTGAAAATTATAAATAATAATTAATATTTTATTTGACTAAACTGGAAAAAAAAGTTTCTTACATATATTACCTGAAGGCAATTTCTCGTTAAAAAAAAGCGAAGCATATGATGTATGGCTTTTCTTTTTTTTTCCTTGCCTACGCTCTCTAACGTATACAAGTCATTGAAAAAAATATTGTCGACATGCACGATGATATAAACATCGATATATTACCTATCATTTTTACTTTTTCATATTATGTCGTTTTATACGCAATTAGACTGATGATTATGTAGACGTATTTACCTGAATTGCAACAAGTGTCTTTCATATTTCAGATACTCTTTTGTTGGAGAAAAAAATATGGGCAACATCAACAAGTTAATTTGTCGAGCGTAATTTCATATTATTTATTTAGTTTTAATAATCTCTTCTTTTCTTTCATAGTGTAGATATAATAACATGTTCTATGAGACGAAATAGTCATCCAAAAGCTGTCAATGCTTTACTTATTGTTGATGTCCAATATGATTTTATTGATGGGTCATTAGCTCTTAAAAATTGTCCGAGTCAACATCAAGGAGAACAAGTTATACCAATGATAAATAAATTATTAAAAGATATACATTTTGATGTCGTAGTTTATACACAAGATTGGCATACACATGATCATATATCGTTTTTTGATAATTTACATTTACGTGCACATTTACTTGCCAAAGATTCAAAACAAGCACATGAATTAAATGTATTCGATACGGCAATATTTCTATTGGATGATCCAAGACCATTACGTGTTGAACAAATACTTTGGCCAGCTCATTGTATACAACATACTCATGGTGCTGAATTACATAAAGATTTAAACATAATAAAACCAACTAAAACTCGTAAAATAATTAATTTATTGAAAGGTTACGATAGTAATATTGATTCTTATTCAGCGTTTTGGGATAATATGAAAATTCGTGAAACAGAATTACATTCAAAATTAAAAGCACACAATGTATCACAAGTATTTATTGTTGGTATAGCTACAGATGTATGTGTATATTTTACTGCTTTACATGCACTTGAAAATGGTTATAAAACATATCTTATACAAGATGCATGTCGTGGAGTTGATGAAACAAATATTAACTTACGTCTTGATGAATTAAAAGGCCGTCATTGCTCAGTTATTCAAACAGCTGACGTTAAAGACTTAATATAAACGTAAAGAAAAGAATATTTGTTTATTTTTATTTCATTTTTAACTATGTCTTGAGTAAATTAAGTGACATAAACAGAAAAAAAAAGAAACACAAGAATTAATAAGAGCAAAATGGGAGAATAGAGAGAGAGAGAAAAACCCAATTAATAAAATGAAAACAGTATGAATAAAGATAAGAGAGGAACATGATAATGATGATGATTACATGATAAAACAGCCAGCATGCTTGTTAATAAGACGATGACCTGATTGATAGCCTTGAAGAAATTCTAATTGTCGAATATTAAATGATCCACGACGGCGTGAACGAACAAAATCAATTGATTCTTGTCGACTCATACCAGCTTCACGTAAAGCCATTGCAACAAGAACCGGTGATCTATTTATATAATAATATAAAATAAAGATCTTTAAAAAATATAAGAAACTAACCGTCCAAGTCCGTGAACACAATGAACAAGAATACAGCCACTTTTATTTTCCTTAACAATATTTAACCACTTATCACGGACAATTGAATCAGGTGCACTGCCATCGGGATATTCAAGATTCTATTAAATAAAAAAATATATATATATTTATTCCGTAGTTTAAATTTATTCATACATACATAAACTTTAATACCAGCTGCTTCAATTGGTTTTGTATCATAAGTTTTTTCTGAGACACGAACTAATGTTGTTACACCAAATTTTAAGCAAGCCTATGAATAGAATTATTATATATTGATACATTATTCATCATATAATATATTACTTCGACAAATGATTGAAGATTTTCATCTGCTGGACTATCAGTAATTAGAAAACGAAGGTGTTTATAGCGAAGTTCCGTCATTGACGGATTGTTTAAATATTGAGCCATTGGCATTTTGAAATTGAATGTTTTGTTCCTTTGATAAAATTGAAAACGTTTTTTTTTCTTGAGTCACTTGTTTTTAATATCTAATTTTTGTAGATATTAGACACCAGTCAAATTTATTTGAGCTATATCGATATGGATAATATCGATAATAGGAAGATTTAGTATATTGGCGTACTAGTCAATATTGCGCTCGGCAAAACTCGCCCGAGAGCGTGCAATCGCACACAAATTCGGTCTAAAAAACAAATAATAATTTATATACATGTAAATTATAGATCTAAAAACAAAATCTTACCGCTTGTTTAGGCGTGGATTCACCGACAACAGCTGTATTCATCGAATAATGGCAAGACGTATTCGTCCAAAGTTCTCTAATAAGCAAAAGCTGAAATAAATGTAATCTACAAAATAAAAATATATGTATGTATGTATGTATGTATGTCTATGTTTGAGACGCGAAGGGTATAAAATAAAATAAAAAAAAAGAAACGAAGCACTTTTTAGTGCACATCTATGTATATATATGCTTCAAGGTTCGAATACATGTTCGCACATACACACACACACACACGCTCTTGCACTAAAGAAGAAAAGAAAAGCAAACATTCAGCGACGACTAAGAAAAAGAAAGCAACGAAATAAAAGCAATCCTTACATATATATATATATATTCCGTCTTATGAAAGAATGAAGAATATAAAACATGTCATTCACATGACGTCATGATAAAATAAAATAATTTCGAATATCGTCATATATATCTCGAATCATTGCTACTGATAAAAGTATTTACTCGATGATGTTAACAAAGTTTTATGATTGATTATATCAGTTAAATGAGGACTAGAATTTGTAAAAAAAAACGCATGATATTATTATCAAGTCGTAGTAGATGCGACATGCAAATCAAGTAATATACGTCGATTCGTTTATTTTTTTGAGAGCGTCTACGCCTGCTAGCTGTAGAGAACTATACAATGTTACGAGAAAAAGAAAGAAAGAAAAAAACATAGCAACTATTACGACTTATATCAGTAACAAATCCGGAAACAACATAAGCAGCACCGACATATAAATACAGCTATTTTCTTTTATAAAAAGCGTGATATGTCAAAGAGCAAATAAAAAAGCGCAAAGGTCTCAACGATAAATTCGCATAGGGATACGATCATTTTCTATTCTCTTATTTCTTATACAAGCAGATGGTAGGAAACTCGACACGTTCGACGTCACTATAAGGATAAATTGGTTAATTTAACAAGAAATAATTCTACAATAGACTTGTGTATTCAACTCTAATGTTATTTGTCATTTTAGCCTTACCGTCTTTTGTTTGAAATAAAAGTAATAATATTTACAAACTTATTTTTACACTAAATTACATTTCCAATAAAAAAAAATAATAACCTACGTCATTCCTGAATTGTGAAAGAAAATTTATTGCTGATGTAACGATATTGAAATAAATATAATGATTCATGTAAATTAAATTTTGTCAAGTATAGAAAAGTACATGTCAAGTGATAAGAAAAATCTAATATCGCTTTTTATAACTACGATTTATAGTACATGTTTCTATCTCTATACAATAAAAAAAAACGTCAATCTTTGAAAATAATTGGCTTCTGTCATTTTTTCCTTCTAGAAGTAAATCTATAAAACTACAACAAGTGATGTTTTTTCTTTTTATGCGAGTAGGAGGATCACGAGTCCTCTACACGATGGATTTACTTTGTCCCCTCAAAAAGCAATTTACATACTGGCAACTTTTAATCTACCATAAATCTTTTATTATTCTAAGAAATTTTACATTTCAGTTAACAAAAAATAATAGAAGAGATTAATTTGACTAAACTCAGAATATCTGCACGATTTTTCTCAAATTATTCTATATATGACTTACAATAAAAGTCTTTTAGTTTTAAACTACTTCTCACTGAAGATAGCATGCTAATGATTATATTTCTACATAACATAAGGAACCTATTAATCAAAGAATGCACTAAGGCCTTCCATGTTATAAATAGAGATCCATAAATATTTTACATGTATTTCTGAATTAGAACGTAATAAAATAACCTATTTCCTATAATAAAAAGTCAAAATAAGCTGGTCATACTCAGTATTTATTTATTGCTCCCAACAGGTACACTTCTTTTTCTCTGAAAGCAAATATTTCTCTTATATATATTTGATCAACAATGTGTCAATCAAAATTGAACATACTTTTGGATATATCCTTCTTGTCTTGTGATAAAATATACCTGACAGAGACAAAGATTTTATTTCCGATGCCATTTATATGATAAATAACTGAATGAACTTTTAGAGGAAAAAAATCAAATTGATTGGATGATACATATGACAAATAATAACTCAAGAAAATATTATATAAAATAAATTCGAAAAAGAAACATTTTCGAAATATATATTATTATTTCTTAGTAAATAATTTTTCTGATTTAAAAATCATATTAAATATAATTTCTATGCTCGATCATTGGTTGAATTGTGTGCTCTTTTTTGTTCTTTGTCTGCGAATGTCTTGATCGAAGCAAAGAAAGCGGGAATATGTTCTATATAGATTGATTGTTAAAATTTTATTTGTTATTATATTATGGAAGATATTCAAAAAACTCAAAATGATGAATCATCATCGGAAGATTGGAGTAAAAAATAAAATATATTTCCATTCGAAAACCTTTTTTTATATTTTTTATTTAGCAATTACATTTTGTGTTATCGGTAAAGCTTGTTCAAATACTCGTTTAATTTCCGCGCTTGAAGATCGATATGCATATGACTGTTTAACTAGTGAAGAACAAATTCTTCGAACATTATCCGAATCCAAACTTTTATTAACAAAACGACAATTACGAATATATGTTATTGAATCATTTGATGAAAATCTATTTTATAATTTAAAAGAAGATGAAAATATTTATATAATTAGTTCGGAACTTGTATTAACTTGTGCAGAGAAAAAAATTGTATAAAACAAAATCTTTAAAACTCATTAAGAAGAATGTTTTTTTTCTGTTTCGAAGGATATTCCAGTACCACGAAGAAATCGTCCATTGTATTCACAACATCTCTCATCAGCTGTTATTTGTTTTGTTGGTGGTACTCGTCGAGAAATACATGTAAATTTATGTTTTTTGCTTGGAAATATATGACTTATTGTTTATTTTATAGACAAAATTTAGTGATATTGTTCATTATCTTGGTGGATCAGTTCGAAAAGATTATGGTGATCAAGTAACACATGTTGTTTCATTTGCTAATCTTGGTGAAAAATATCTTGTAAGTATTTGAGAGAATTTTAATACGAAAAAAAACAATTTTGTGCTTATATAGACAGCATTTAATATGGAAAGAAGTGAAATTTTAACAGAAGATTGGCTATTAGAATGTTGGAAAGAACGAGATAATCGAAGATTTGATGCACTTAATACAGATTTTATTCGAACATATCGTGCAAAACCATTGCATAATCTTAATCTATTCTTTTTTGGTGCTGCTGATGAAACTCAACAACGACATTTACATACATTGACATTAGATAATGGTAAGTTCTAATTTTAAAAATAAAAAGAATCTCCTTAGATAGTTTAATTAGAAAAGTATATTACCGAATGTTTTGATGAATCAATAGGATTATGAAAGCGTAGATCACATACAATAGTTCAAAAATAGGAAGAGATGAAGTCTTTTGTCATTATAGTCATCTCTTGTAGGGTGTTTTTTTGACACTCATCGATGAAGTTGACAGTAATCTATTTTTGTTTATGACCTGAACTATGACATATCAAGTTGTCATTTTATGATAGAATAAAGATATCTTACATATTTGTTGATTACAGCTCAAAAAAGGCAAATTTCTTACTATGGTTTCAATGAGATTGGGTTATAGAATCCAATGCCATGGCCTATTTCTGACTGTTCAAGGTTTTCTTTATCATTAGATTTGATCTTAATGATGTCAAAGAAATTTTTATAACACTCTCATACCTTCAATCCTAAGTGTAGAAGCATTTCTTCCTTCATACGAAAATCTTATCTTTATTGTGTAGAATATTCAATGAGTAAATTGATAAAAAATAACTTTGTCCTATTTGATATATTCTATAATTTAGGTGGATATACTACAAATGAAATATCTGATGCAACACATATTGTGTTTTACAATGGAATGGATGCGAATATTTTTCTTTCCGCTTATCCATCATATAAACGAAAACATCGTCAACATATTGTTAATGTTCAAGTAAATTTAATATAAATTTTTATATTTAAATACTATTTTCTTTTTTTACAGTGGTTTTGGGAATGTTTATGTTTAATGGGTAAAGCAGATGAATCAAGTTATTCAATAAAATTACCAGGTATGAATGAAACAACAACACCTGATTCACCACGTTCAACATTACTTTCATTATCAACTCTATCACCATTATCAACATCAATAAATGATTCCAATTATATTCATCAACATAATACAACAACATCTGTTAAACGTAAACGACGAAAAGAATCAAATTCGAATACAGAAATTAATATTACACCAAATACAAAACGTTTTAATAGTAGTAATGAAAATGAGAATGGTCTTGATGATGATATGATAGTAGATACATATGAAAAACAACAAAAAACACCAAATATAAAAAAAGATAATAAATATTTAATTGGTATGGAAATTCGAGAAACAGAACGAAATTATGTTACTATGTTATCCAATATAATTAAAGTTAGTATTTATAAGAGAGAAGATCAAAAATTAAATGAAATTTTTTGTTTTTTTTTCAGTTTTTCAAAACAGAAATGGAAAAAGATGATCGTCGAAATGGACCCATATTAACAAAAGTTGAAAGTACACAAATATTTGGTAATATAGAAGAAATCTATCATCTACATTTGACAATTGCTGAACAACTCGATCGAGCACTTAATGAAGATACTTGTATTGGTTCAGTTTTCTTAGCTAATGTAAGTGAATAAGAAACATATGTATCCCTATGTATGAAAATTTTTAGGCAGCCGAACTTTTACGTGTTTATCAACCATATACAAAATTTTATGATAAAACTATTCAAGCAATACATTCACTTGAGAAAAGCAATTCGCGTTTTTATGCTTATCTTAAAGTAATATTTCTATATATTAGATTTTGTTTTTTCAATATTATACATTTAAATAAATAGATCTGTGAACATAAATCAGAATTAGGCAAACAACACTTAGCTGATTTAATGATTCGACCAATTCAACGTTTACCAAGTGTTCTATTGCTTTTAGAACGTTTACTTAAATATACACCAATAACACATGTAAATCATCAACAATTAACAAATGCTATTGATAAATTACGTGAAGTTGCAAAAAAATTAAATGAAGAACGAGGAAAAACAGAGAAACATCTTTCATTATTTAGTATTGTTAATAGTATTGATAATTGTCCAGTAAGATCATTGAAGTCATTTTTTGTTTTTCATTAAGAAAATTCTTTGTTATTTTTAGCCAGAATTACTTGCAGCACATCGAGATTATTTACAAAAATTTAATCTAATTGAACTCTCACAAGAATTAACTGGAAAACGAACTCATCTAACACTTTTCCTTTTCTCCGATTGTATCGAAGTAAATATGACTTAATTCTATATTGCCATAGACTTAGGATAGAACTGTGTGATGCAGAATAATTTTAAAAAAAGACATAGTCGACCTTGGACACGACGCAATCTAGATTGCGGCATGACAGTTTTTTTGGTTTTAAGTTACAAAAAAATGAGTCTGCAGCTTGAGAACCGGTGGAAAAATTTTCAATAATTATGATTAATCTATAAATTTAATTATGAAATAGAGCTTTTTGATATAACGAAACTATGAAGATTTAATAAAATCTGTTAATTTAGATCACAAAACTACGCGTTAATACATGGAAAACACCAGTTGTTAAATCAACAAAATCCTATAAACATGTGGCATTAATTCAACTTAGTGATATACGTAGTCTATATGATATAGCTTCATCAACATGTGATGGTAAAAAATCAAAAAATTTAGATATATATGCATATTATTGTTTTTCTAGAAAATGAACAGTTCGGTATGCTTTGTTCAATCGATGGTCAAGCACGTCAATTAATATTTCGTGTAGCTGATAATAATATGTCAATATCACGTTCACATTTAACCGATTCTATGACATCATTAACATCCTTATCGACTATAGCTAGTGTAAATCAAACAAGTAAAACAGAAGTTTTACAACATTTAGCTAAAGCCATTGCAGAAGAACGTTGTCTTCTTGATAAAGTAAAAAAACAAATAATATGAAAATAAAATAATTCCATAATTCATTATTTTAGACATCACTTATTGAAAATGTTGGACCAGAAAATGGTGCATTTACTCCACTTTCATCATTAGATTTTATGAGTGATAATGATACATTATCAACTCATTCAACAATGAGTGCAACAACAACGAGTGGATTAAATTCAGTTGGTAGTGCATTAAGAACGTATGAAAATATATATTTCTTCAAACTTAAAAAAAAACAACTTTCTATATATTTTAGTGGTTTATATAAAGCAAAGAATCGTCTTAGTCGAACATTTTCCTTTAGTCCAATATCATCAAAAAATCGTTTAAAGAAGATGCTTACATCAAATAGTTCATTATTACATTTAAATGATAAAGATAATAATAATTTTAATTCAATGAAACGTTTAAGTGTACCATCTCGACAAGATTCATTTACGAGTGAACGAAGTTTTCCTCAATCACCGTCGAGATTTATGCATTCAATACAAGAATGTTAGTTAAAGCATTTTTCTTCGAAAAGAAAATTTATTTTTATATATTTAGATTGATCTTTTGTTATGATATTATTACATTAATTCATCTATATTTTGTCTCATCTAATTGTGTTTTCTTATTTCTTGTCTTTATTTTATGTCTCTATATGAATTTTGCTCTTGAAGAGCATGTACAGCCTGTCTAAAAAAAGAATAAATAAATAGATCTTACGTTAAAAAATAGAGAATAGACTTATATAATTAATATTTTTTTTGAAAATTTATGAGAAAAAAATAATGACGTCAAAATCAATATTAATATTCTGTTGAAGCGGAATCGGAAACGGAATTTGCCATCTCTCTGGAAAAAGAGAATTTGTTGTTTTAGTCTATAAGTAGTATAATACTGTTCGAATGAATTAGAATTTAAATTCTATTCGTTAATTCCTATGTAAATAAACGTCAATTGGCAATATATATATATGATTATTTGTCAACAAATATTTTATTTTTTGAAAAACTCAATTAATTGTTTATGTGAACTATTTTCTATTATATGACAACATCTTTTATCACAACAAAAGCATATAGTAAAACTATTTTCGATTTCCGGAATATTTAATAGTTAGCCATTTCTTTTTCCATCGAATTGTCAATATTAAATTATCAGTAGTAGAAACAGGAAATCATCAGAGTTTAGATGTTTTCAATAGAAAATCTTTTAATTTATTATATTTTGCCAATAGAATATAAATTGTTAATTTAAAATACAAAGACAAAATGAAGAGTTTTTAAATTGGTGGCCAAGTATATAGATACTTATATTGTTAAGAGGGAAACATCCTTAACTGTTGTCCTTTAGTTGAAGTGTTTCTATCTCAAGTATTTCTAAAATTATTAAATAAACGTTTATTTTGAATATTCAATAACTAAATAATTAATACGAACGAAACAATGCATAGAAAATCATGTGTATATATTCTATATCGTTTTCTTCTATTGTAGATGGAGTACATAATCTTATCTAACGATTGGCTATTAAATATTTAAATTGAACAAAGCACTGTTCATCATTGGAACGAAAACAAAAGGTTATTATATATTTCATACGTATCGTACATATCCTTGTTCTGAAAAGTAGGATACTCTATTATAGATAGGAGACATTTTGTATAATGTCTACATTACATAAAAGATTTGCTCGTAAATATCCTAATGGTTCGAAAAAAGAAAATCGACCAAATACAAAATTACAACAACAACAATTATTATGTCAATCAATGTTTCTTGATTCATCAGATCAATCTCGAGCATTGTACTATTTAGGTTTAACATATCATTTAAAAGCAAAAGAATTACTCACTTCATCAAGTGGTTTACTTACTGATGATATACGAACATTACTTAATAAATCAATTGTCTATTATGAGTAAGTTTATAATAATCAAAAGTTTTTTTTCAAATTTAATGAATCTATAGTTATTGATTGTAGTTAAAAAAAGTTTTACATTCCTTATCGAAAAATCAGACGTTCATTCAAATTTTTTTTTATTTCTTTTGTCTCTTTCATTTATATATTGATATGATGATGATGATAGATGGTTGGATTATTGCGTACGCCTCTTCTATTTTCTGCTTGTCTGTCATTTGTATGTAGTTTGATTTTCCGCGTGCATAACATTCATTGTCGTTTGCTTGTTTTTTTTTCTTTACTTGCTCATGTGTTAGTGCATTGCTCAGCTTCCGTTTTGCTTTTAGTAGACATAGTTTCTCTCTATTTCTCTCCAAACTATATACTTGAGAAGTTAACAGTAAGAGGCCTAATGCACGTAAAGAAAGAGAAGAAGGAGAAGGAGAAGAAGAGGCAACAATTTTAGCTAGAGGAGAAGACCATTATATTCCGACTATGATTACTTTATTTCTATATATAAACGAGAAAAAAAATACAAGAGAAATAAAAAAAGGTATATATATTACAGACATGAACAAAGCATTTATAGTGATTGTGTTAGTTTCAAATAATTTTTCCTCTAGAAGAGAAGATGAAAGAGAACGATGATGCCAATTTCTCTTTTTTTTCTGCTGCTTCGAAATATTAGTAGTTCAACAAGGATTGAAGAGTATATGCGCAGATATGTAGACGAGCTCATTCTATAGACGTGGTAATTATGTGCGCGCGTGTGTTGTGTGGCCGTTTTAATTCAATCTGAAACGATGAGTATAGTGCGTGCTCGGTTTAATCTCTCTTTGGGTTAGATACACCAAATGCATACGTCTCATATTATACACTATTTTCATGCGAAATCATCACAAGAGACTGAGTATTCTTCTTCTTTTTGTTCATCTGTTTGTTTGTTTTATTGTATTCAAGAAAAAGCTTGCGGCTGTATAAAACATTACCATAAATTATTGAATCATCTTAGTCATTACTTGGCGTTGGTTTGATTCTTCCAACAAAAAGTCATTCATGCAGTCAATATTATCAATTGTAGTCATGATTTAAACGAAAATAAATACTACTTAAGCTAGATTTAGATTTTTATTTAAAAAAATAAAGATCAAGCTGTATATATATATATGTGTATATACATATATAAATTGCCTATTATGAATAGTCTCGAGAGAACGTTCGTTCATCTATTCGAATGAATAGATGTTGAGATGACAATAAAAAAAAACTGTAAAAGAAAGAAAATACTATATTCTTCTCGTTTTTCTCTATTTTTCTGGTCGGACATGCACTCGATATTTTTCTATTTTCCTTTTTCAGGAATTTAATTAGTTTGAATAGAAGAATGCAAGAACGAACAACAGCTCTTTTTCTTAACCTTTCTCATTCATGTTGTTGTTGTTCTTGTTTTTTCGGAAGAGAATATGTTAGAAAAATAGTTATACATTTTTATCGGACGACTTCATTTACATAGTAGATACATAAAAGAACAATTTTAACATAGATTTTTTGAATCATAAATATGAACACATTTACAATAATCAAATCTTACGTAAGTTTAAGTAATTGATGATAATAATCATAAAAAAAAAAAAGTTTTTTTTGTTCTTCTTTCTATTATTTTTCTTATTAATCGTTAATGAGAAAAATATTTTTTTTGTATTCAATCAACTATGATTCATAGATAGTCAAGTGATTGGATTCAATATATCATAATAATAACCAGGGTAACTGATTGCTTCTTTCTACAAGTGTCAGAATCGAGAGAAATAATAATCAAGAACACAGAGTACACTAGCAGAACTTATGAGTGTACTTATAACTAATATTAAATATACGAATAGTGAATATATATATAATAGAAACCACGTGTTATCAAGGAAAATATCGAGTATCTTCCGATATCAATATGCTCTATCTAAAAGTATATCACGCGACTATAACATCACCAAAAAAAGTAGAATATGTTAGAGATTCCATAGGGAAGAAAAAGTAGCGAGATGAACATTGGGATTGATATTATTGTTCAGCTTACTGACTTTTTCATCTTTGATTAGTAGTTACTAGTTCATTATATAATTTAACGGCCGAACATATATATATATATATGATGATAATGCCTGTATTGATGTTCAGGAATAACTTTGCACTCATATTCCTTCTGCTCCAGATACAACATGTCAAACAATTGCCTTGTCCTATTCTTATTATCGTGTATGATAGATGCTAATAGTTGTATAAGTCTGTTTACTGTGCAAATATATTATAATACAACAGATCAACATGTCTTATGTCCTTAGTTTTTTTTCCATATATTCTGTGTGTCTTTTTCTATTACAATAATGTTGTTTGCTTGTCTTTCGCTTGACATGAGTATTTTCATATAATAAATACGAGGGAGAAAAAAAAGTATGGAGACTTGATATTAATTTGTTTATTTTTTCATAGACAAAATCTCAATCTTAATAAAGAATTAAACGACAAAGTGGCCGAAGGACGAACATTAGGAAATATTGGCAATGTCAATTATTTATTACAAGATTACTCAACATCCATTGAGTATCTTGATAAAGTATGAAATACATATGAATTGTTCAATAAATTATTTATTTTTTCGAATAGCGTTTGACAATTGCTAAAGAATGTAATGATCAAGCCGGTCAACGTCGTGCACATGGCAATCTTGGCAATGCTTATCTATACTTAGAAGATTTTGATAAAGCTCTTCATTATTATAGGTATTTAAATATAATTTTAATAAAAAAAAAAAAAAACATTTTTTTGATTGATGTATTTTTTTTCTTCTATTAAAAAGAGAAGCAATGAATTTAGGTGAATTAATGAATGATGATATATTTATGGCACGAATAAATTTTACTATTGGCCGTGTTTATAGTTTAAAACAAGATTATGAAACAGCTATTTATTTTCATGAAAAACATTTAAATTTAGCTCGACAATTAGAAGATTCGATAGGTCAATGTCGAGCATATTATATTTTAAGTCAATTAAATGAAAAAATCAATCAACATGATAAAGCTACAAAATATGATAGTCTTTATAAAGCTCTTGCACGAGAAGTAGATATTAATTTGATTTGTCTTATTAAATATACATTGAATTTAGATTGATGAACCACTAGAAGATACAATTTCAATGTCAACAACATCGGGACCAACAAAGAATTCGCTCAAAGTTTGTTTTCTCTTAAAATTTTCAAAAATATGTTTCTTTTTTTTTCTCTAGAATTTACGTACCGATTCAATTAGTATAAGTTTATCTGAAGGAGGTGGTACAAATAATGGTTCTTCCGGTTCATCATCACAAAGTCCTCCTTCAGCACGTTCAAATGCAAGTGTTAGTAGTAGTATAACTGATGTACGTTCATTTATTGGTTCACATACTATTGCAATAAATGATAAATCTATATCAAATAAAAGTAAAAAAAGTAAAACAAATTCCAGTAGTTTAAAATCAAATTTAATGCATCATTTGGGAAAAAAAAAATTCATCACCAGCACCAACACGAAAAGAAGTAAATGAATGATTTTGCTTTTTGATTTTGAAGAAAATAATTAATTCTTTTTCGTCTAGTCATTACCAGCTGATCATGATGATTTAGTTGACCTTGTATGTCGTATGCAAAAATCACGTTTTGAAGATCAACGTTGTCATTTTAAAACAACTACTCAAGACACGACAAATACGAATGCATTACGCGGACAACGTATGTATTTAATTCCTGACTTGTCTTTTTATCATTAAAAAAAAGGAGAAAAGATCAATATTAAACGGAAATGATGATGTCAGAAAAAAAAGCGGAAATAATTTTATAAACATTAATCTAGAAAATATTTGTGTACCTATCTTAAGTTCATTTCACTGTAAGGATCGGAAGTGTACTGATTAAATTATAATAAATAATCAAACTTATATAAAAATTTCTTTTCAATTAGGTCCAAGTGTACAACTTGAAGATATATTTAATACAGTAGATCGTTTACAACAAACACGTCTTGATGATCAACGAACACATCTTCCAACACCGATCAATCAAGATAATAATAATAATAATAATAATGTGAAATCAAATCGACGTCTTTCACCATTGAATGAACAATTTTTTGATCAACTCGCGAAGTGTCAAGTTAGTATATACTTTTGATTTGAGGAAGAAGAAGAAGTAGAAAGCTCATTTTGTTTTGTATAGGATTCTCGTCTTGATGATCAACGAGCTGTACTTATACCGATTCATAATAATAATAATAGTTCATCAATAAGACCAACATCAGCATCATCAATAATATCAACAACAACACTAGTATCCCCGTCAAAAACATCAGCCCATGAAACAACATCAAAAACTTTACCAGACGAAGATTTTTTTTCACTTCTCAATCGTTTACAATCACGTCGTATTGATCAACAACGAACATGTTTACCATCAACAATGAATAATGCTACTTCTCCACTAACATCACCGAATTCAAACAGTACACCATCAAAACGAACCCGTGTGAAACCCTAAATATTCTTCTTCTTCTTCTTCAATTATGAACATATAAGAACATTGCCTTCTTTAAATATTTTTTCTTTCTCCTTTCTCTTTAATTGTCATTTTTTTTTCTGTTTATTGGTTTGTTTGTCTATACCTATATATAGCTACTATTTTTAAAATAATTGTATCATAGAAATGCAAACAAAAGAGAAATTAAATCATTTTACATATATAATCTGTTTTGATTCTCAACAGATATTTCATAGATTCTTTGGAGAATACTTCTTTTATTTAAGAGATCATTCATCGTCTAATCTAAAGTTAGAATTGAAAGCAAATATATTATTCTGTTAACGTTTTTGCCTTTATCACACGCGATTGTTGACTACAATATGGCATACAACATACGTTTAACATGTATGCCGGAATTTCCTATAGACAGCGAAACAGGAAATATAATTCTTTCTATTGAAAAAGAAACGAGTAAGGAATCAAGAATATATATGTGAATAATTAGACATGTCTTTTCAAAGAATCTACCCACGTCATGCGGACTATTCATTTATGACTTGAACATTTTCACTAAGAACTAGATCTCTATTGAGAAAAAAAGAAATTATATAGAATCAAATATTAATTACAGCATGTTTTACCATCATTTTATGAGTAATTTACGTTATTTTAATACGAATAATTAATGTTCATACGACGTCAAGGACAATCTATATAGTATAAAGTTCGATTGATATACTCTATATCTTTGACATAGCAAATAAGTCTATTCTGATATAATACTAATGATTCTATAAATAATTTTTTGATAAGACTTATCTAAGGATGCATTGTTTCTATTTATATAAATATGTAAATGTAGATTAATCATAATTTAATATAAGAATGAAAGTATGATTACGTTTATACATTTTGTTAACTTTATATTTTCATTGGCTGATTCATATATGGCATCGTAGAATATTTATATTAAACTATGATATGATTAATCAGCCATAAGAAGAAAACAATCACTATTATATATTATCTCGATAAAATTTAGTACTATAATGAATGTAATTATCAATGGTAATGCTATCAAATATCAAAAATTCTTTACATAACTTTAGTAGATATTACACTTCTGTGAATGATAACAATAATAACATATGGGGGTACCTTTCATTTTAATTTATATGAAAGTTACTTCGTTTTTTTGTGAAATTCTATAAATATTAAATAATCGTGGTAATATTCACGTCAATAACAATATGAACCTCCTACTGAATTATTTCAACAAATAGCGTCAGCCGATTAATGTAAAAAAAGTGTGAATATAGAATATAAATATAGTATAAATGTGTTTAATCATCCAAATTGAAAGTATATTACCGTTTCACACCAATAATAGAAATGGAATAATTGAAATATCTAGGATATTTAATTGATTGCAGAGTATATTCCAGTACTTTTGCCACATAACAACAAAGTTAATAGAAAAAAAATCTTAATCATTCTTATAAAAAAAATGAATTAGATCTCGATCATTTATGCATCTGTAAGTCAAAAGAAAACTTGCAAATTTTATCAAAAATAATCTTTTACCTATCGTCAAACTGCAAACAGATTGAACTATGAATATTCAAGTATACAGTACAAATTATTTACTGTTGAGCTTTATAAAAGATATTAAAATGATGACCTTCGCTTATTTTCATTGTATTATTCAAGAATAGTCAAAAATGAAAAATATTTGATTATCCTCTCTTGTTAATAATGTCCTTGATGTTCAATGTAACTTGTCACTCAAAACTATCAATACGTATAAGCAACAATTATATTTTTATATTATACAATAATGAGACAACTGTTAATTTCCAACAATGATCGTTTATCTCGATGTCATTCATGTTTTCTGTTGATTCATTTAACATTTACTTTTGCTAATCTTATATCATTTGTTACATTAGAAAATCTTGTTTTTATCTTGACGAAAGAGTTCATCTTAATGATAGTAATAGTGTGATCATTACTGATAGGAACTGACAAAATTCATACAATTAAATAAAAATAATTACTATCTTTCTCTTCAAATTGTAGTTATTACAGAATTCAATAGCTTGAGAAAGCATGTTTTTCTGTATATGTTGTTTTTTAATATGAAAAAAAAAGATAATAATCATCAGCACAATTATCACGACAATACAGTGTATCATGCTAAGACTTATCAAAAAAAAGGCACGAATAATATATCGAAAAAAGGAAAAAAGAATCCAAATAATATCTGATCAATGAAAAAAAATATACATAAAAATCAATGGGTTATTCAGAATTATGATCTTTTAGAACGAGTTGATTTCTTTGTTTTTGAAGATGATTCATCGTCAGACGATGATGCTTCGTCATCACTTGTTCTTGGAGTTGATTTTTTGCTACTCGGTGAACCAGTTCTTTTTACTGGTGATCGTTGTGTTTTTTCTACTGTAGGCTAAAATAGAAATAGATCATCTTGTTAATTTCTAATCGATGAATAGGAACAACTTTTGTTTTAAAGAAAGCTAATAAAAAAGATTGTGGAAATATTCGTCTTAATACCTTTAAATTTGTTGCAGCCCAAGTAAGTAAATCTTGAGTATATTCTCGTTTTTCTTTCAAATAAATATCTTCATATTTCTGTTAAAATTCATAAATATATTTTGTAATAAGAAAAGGAAAAAAAAGAACATTTAACCTTTCTATCTGTGTCAGACAATTTTGCCCATTTTTCTGATGCAGTTTTCATAAAATCCTATAAAAAATAAATGTTTCATTAACAAAAAAACAAAAAATAGAAAATCAATACTTTTAAATCAACACCAGCACGATCAAGCGATGATATATAATGAATATAAGCTGAACGTGGTTTTTTCGTTGGTATTTGTTTAATAAGCTAAAAAGATTAAATACATTAATAATATTGAAAATTCTGTTATCAAAATACGATTTGAAATAAAAATATCGAAGTGTATTGGAATAGAAATTCGGACTTACAACTAGTGGCGTATAGGGTGCGGCTTTTGGATTTTTTCGGGGCTCTTCGGGATTGAGTAGTTTCAAAATAAAGGCTTCAGCTTAATTCTTGGACTCTTCTGAAGATGTACAATAAATAGAGAATAAAATTCTCTATCAGACTATTGTATTTTCGGATCTCATTCAACATGTATTGCAGGACAAATATCAACAGAATTTAAAAACCCGAAAAATCAGGATTTTTCTAATCCCGGAGGTATTTCTTCTTCATATATTCTGAATGAGATCTGAAAGTACAATAGCCTAATAGAGAATTTTATTGACTATCCATCGTACATCTTCAAAAGAACCCAAGAATTAAGCTGAAATCTCTATTTTGAAAATACTCAATCCCGAAGCCGCACCCTAGTGGCGTAACCACACTGGGGCCAGATGGGGCTTAACCCCATCACCCGAGTTTTTTAGTTACTGAACTTGTCAATCAAAAAAACCAAAATACTAGACAGTTCTGGACTGAGCTCCATCATCGTTAAATTTCTGGTTACGCCACTACTTACAACCGCCCACAACCTCTTCCTCACAATTAGAGATCCGCTCCGGCCCTGGTCTTGCACATCTCTACTTACAATATATGATAGAGAATTCAAGGTCGCCATAAGCACTATAGTATTCTCTGATGTACGATGCTCATCGCGCCTAGTGTAATTTTATAGCGATTGTGTTAACAAATCCAAATTCAGGAAAAGATAAACTTATAAATGCATACATACTTTTCTAACTTGTTGTTCAATTTTTTTAATTTTTTCTTCTGCATGAACTGTTTTTAAATCAGTATCTGATAAATGTTTTTTTTCATCTTCATATAGTGCTTTTTGTTCTTGAGATTTTTTCGAATAAACCTTGGAAAAAAATATTATTGGTTTTTACAAAATTCTATTCATACTTGTCTTTGTTCTTCAGTTAAAGTTTTCCAATGTTCAGCCATTTTTATACTCATTTCACCTAATTTAATATCTGTAAAAATTTTTCAATAATATTTTATTTCGTATTCAAATTCAATATTATTTTACTTGGATATTTCGCACTGATATCATGATAATTCTCTTTTATATAAAGTGAATAAGGTGTTGGTGCACGTAAATTCCGCATTTTATCTAGTAGATGTAAATTCACTTCATGACTATCTGACGAAGGTTTTTTATCTGCTGTTGAAACCGATCGTTGATCAATTGTTAAAACAGATAGAAGACTATGACTGAAAATAATATTTTGTATAATTTTTCGGCAAAATTATCTTGACAAATTTCTTACTTGCCAAATAATGTTGAACCTGATAGACGAGCAATCATATTTGTTCCACCTGCTGCCCACATATTTTCTTTTTTTCAATAGAATCTAATGATTAAAACAAAAATTTTCTTTTTCTCTTGTCTAAAGCTTGAAAGAAGAATAAATTTTCAAATGAAAATGAGTAATAATTTTGGTTTTGTTTGCTTTTTTTTTCTTCGTGAACATAGACAAATAACACATTTCACAAAAAAGACAGATGAATAAACACAATCAATCAATAACAATAGACACACACATATATATATATATGTATATATTCGTTCTCTCAAATTAAAACACTTGAACGTTTACACAAAACAAAGATCAATGAATTAGTTATAATCAAGACAAAAAAACAATTATATATCAATACAATTCCTAACATAACAAATGAATTTAATCTAAAGTTTTTTTTCTTTCGTTCTTTTATTGTTGTTCAGTTTCAATTGTTTCTGATGGAGGATTTTCTAAGAAAGAAAAAAATTGTTTTTTAGAAAAACAATAAAGATTTGTTTACCTTCGGATTTAACTGTCTGTTCTTGTTCAACCGGTTTATCTGTTTGTTTTGATTTCTCTGATTCATTCGTAGTTTTTTTCTTTGGATCATCTTCAGATTTACGTGTTTGTGATGGTTGTTTTTCTTTAATACCAAGTATATGTGTTACATGATCAAATGTTGTACGTGTTTCACTTCGAACACGATAAAGTGCATCGGAATAACGTTTATATTTATCTTCAAGTTCTTTAAGATCATGTTGAGTATCACGTAAACGTTTCTTTGTATCAGATAATTGATCAGTATAGGAACGATTACTTTTCTGTGTTGAATGTAATTCATCAGTTAATTTATCTAAATTTAATTTGTTATAAAGTTTTGCGAGATTAAATAAATGTAACTTACTAATTTCTTTTTTCAATGTATCAATTTTTAATTCAAGTCCTGTTTGAATTTTATTCGACATTTCTAATTGTTTCATTGCACGTTGATTATCAACTGAAGTAACTAATTGATTGCCATCATTTGTTGTCGATGAACGTACACCAAATACAGACATATTGTGTGGTAAAAGAAGTAAATTTCCTAAAATAAACATAAAATTATTGATAGAAATTTTCATTATTATTATTATTCTACCTTTTGGTGCAAGTGTGTCAATATCAGTTTCATTTATTTCAATTGGATTTGTATGAACATTATCATCAGCTGGTAGAGCTTTATCAGTTAATTTATGATATTGAACTTTTTCATTATGAGCTATACGACTAACTAACATTTTTGCCTGTAAAAAAAGAATTTTTAATGCTTATTCTTTGTTAGATTTTAATGAAATTTACTTCATTTTTTGTTAATGATAAACCTGATAATAGAAGAATTTCTTCTAGATCTTTTTCAGTTAGATAACCACAACGATTTCGATCGAAAAATGTAAATGCAAGTAATAATTCTGGATGAATTGTACGTTGACGAGTTTGTACAACTGTTGTTGATGTTTTTGAATTATCATCTGAACTTTTTTCAGTTGTTTCTTCTTGTGTAGATTTTTTATTTTGTGAAGATGAATCATCCTGGAATAAAACGAAAATAAAAGGAAATCAATTTTTTTTCCAATTTACTTGACTTGGTGTTCGTTTTCGTTTTTTTTCATTTTCTTCCGTATTTAAATCAAGACCGGGAAGATTATCATCATTACTACTTGTAATCATTGCTTCAGTTTGTTCTTCTTTATTTTCACTTGCTGTTTCTTGTTCAGTACTTGGTTCAGTAATAGTTGCTTGAGGTTCAACACTTGTATCAGTTACTTCCAAACAACTGTATAAAGATCGATAAATATGATAAGAATAATCGCGCATAAGCATTTCATAAAAAGCTTCCGAAAAAAGATATAACTAAAGAAGAAAAAATGAATTTATTGGAAATAATTATTTGAGTTTTACTTCAAAACATTTTTCTTTGATTGTATCTTTATTTGCATAGTTGAGAAGATAATGAAGAGAGACGATACGACAATCGAATTTATCGCCTTTAGCTATTGTTGGATGAACAAGTATTGAACGATGTGATGGAAGTTGATATTTCGTTTCGATATCTTTACGTAATTTATCAATATCAGCTTGTGTATGTTCTTTAATATCGGGTTTAGTTGTAGTTGAAACAGTTTCAGCAGGAACTGTAGAAGATTGTTGTTCTACGTTAGTAGTATCAGTTGGTGGTTCTTCAACTTTTTCTTCATCAATCTAAACATACACAACAAGTTTTTTTGAAAATTAAATTTTCTCATCAAGCCTCACTTTTTCTTGTAGAATGATTTTAGCTAAACGTTTTTTCAAGTCAGCTTTTATTCCAGTGGTTGGTTGTCCACGTACTTTTAATTCCGTTTTAAGATCAATGACCTGCATCATATAAATGAAAAGTATATATAAAAAAATAGATCAAAGAATAGACATACACGAAGATTTTCAATATTAATAGTTGAATGATGAGTTGCACCACGTGTTTCGATATTATCATCCTAAAATAATAGATAAAAAAAAAGTTTTATTCAAAAATAAAATGAATTGAAAAAGGGAAAAGGTAAGAAAGACAGATATAGAAATTTGATATCTTGGAATGAAATTGTTGTAATGGACGCAAGAAAGAAATAGAGAAGAAAAAGAAAAGAGATCAACGAATATATATGTACGGGTATATTGGCTTCATTGAGTTCTTCAGCAATTTCTTCATCACATGATTGTTTGTACATTGATATTGTTTCTTCCCAGTCGAGGCTTGATGGCATGCAGGCAGCAGCAATATCCGGCAGGAAAACGATGATATTTTCAACACGACTCTCAATCAAACGGCCCTTGTGTATTTCTTCTGGACGATGATAGCGCACCTCCAGGTAACGGCACCTAGGATGAGGTACACATTTTGATGATCATAATCAATGATAGATATTATTAATAATAATGAAATATTCCACATAGAAAAAAAAGAAATTTAAAAAAGACTATTCTTCATATTATATATTATTCCTCATCGGTAATAACGTGGAATAAGATACATAAAAAAATATTTTTTTTTTATTTATTTATAAAGTATATTAATATGTAATATAACTATTCTACGTACCATTGAATACATTTGCTTAAATCAATACCAGCTTGGGCATTAACACAACGAATAGCTGTACGAATAAGTACTTGTGGATCAGTTCCAGGATTTGAACCATCAAGTGATTCCGACCATGAACCACCTAATGGAAAATATTCATTTTGATAACGAACACCAACAAGAAATTTGATTAATTTTGTTGGATATTCTAAATCATCTGGATTGATTGTTGAAGAAGTTTTATCATGATTAATTAGACATGATCGAGATATTAATGTTTGAATATCGGGTGATGACATTAACATAACCTGATAATAATCGTTTTATTTTAAAAAGCAAAATACATAAAGAGAAGAAACATACTCGAACATTCCATGTATAATCAGCATCTGGTGGATCAAGAATTGAAACATTATCAGTAAATAAACGTGGAACATTTTTATTAAATATATGAAATGAACATGGAGTTATAAATTTCATTGGATGTTCAATAGGTACAGATTGATGCCATGTATATGATGCATGATAGAAATCCGATGGTATATGTAAACGTGAATAACGTGAACGAATTTGAGTTACATTTAATTCAGAACTAAAATATAAGAATAAGCTTATTATTCTTCGGAAAAAAAAGAGATATTTACCAATCTAGTGATGCTTTTGGTAATGTACAAGTATATTTTGGTGGTGGTGCACGAGAAGTACGTTTAGGTGTTAACATTTTATTAGTACGTGAATGACTACGTCTTGTTGAATCCGAACGATGGCGATCATTATTATTATTATTATTTGAACCATTATTTATTGGACCATGACGATCACGATTGTTATTAGTATATTGATGATGATGATGATCAATATTATTATTATTATTATTATTGTTATTATTATTATTTGTTGGTAAAGGTCGTTTCATATTTGATGATTGATTTCGATTTTGATTTTGATTACGATTTATAAATGTATCAGAATTACGTGACATTTGTTGTGGTCCACCAGTTGGTCGTTCTAAATGAAAAATAGGAGTTGGAAATATTAATCAAAAGAAAACAGAATTTTGTTTTTTACGTGGTCGTCTTGTATCAGCAGGTGTTTGAACTACTCGAACATCAAAACCATAATATTTATACGGGGTTTGAGTAGCAAAACCTTCAGCTGGTTTCATTTGACATACAACATGATCACCGACACGTGGTAACGGACCAGATACCGTACTAAAATAACATTTTCTATTAAAATAAATCATAAAAAAAAAACTTTACTTTAATTTAAATGATATTTCGTTATCAATAACGCCATAATCACGAAACATATTTGATACAGTACCAGTATATGGCAGACTTTTACTTGCTGATGAATAATTTGTTGATGCTATCATTGCTGGTCCCTAGAAAAAATATATATGTGTATACAATAGAAAGTTTCTAATGATTCTTACTGTATTCATTACTGAATACATTGCATTAGGATTTGTTTGATAATTCATTGGTGCTAAACCCATTTGATTTCCAGGTGCACCTTGTGGTGGTAAAACAAATGATGTAAATGGATCTGTTGAAGATGGATAACGTCGATCACCTGAAGCACCTCCAGCACCACCACTACCATCACCACGATGCCATGCTCCTTTGAATGCCATAATAACTTACAAAAAGGTTAAAATATCAAATTCAAATCGAATCTAAAAACATAAATAAAAATATTTCCCATTACTACAATCATCTCTACTGTGGAACAATAGAAGACATAATAAATAAACAAAACAAATAAATCGTCATTTTTCTCATATGATTGGCTCATTAAAAATGTACGATAGAGAACGTTAGTAGTCGTTGATAAGTCGGTTTACATAAGATAACTCAGTTTTCCTAATAAAAATGTCTCAAGTAACATTAAAAAAAAGTTTATTTGGTATAACAAAAGATCATAATGAATCGATAAAGTAAATACAATCATTGCTATAAAATGCATAAAAATAAGTAGATAAATCTTATATAGATATACTCTTTCTACATCGGATGGTTTTGAAATTGCTCTAATTGATTATGGTGCTACTATTCAATCGATTCGACAACCAGATAAACAAAATAATATAGCTGAAATTACTCTTGGCTACGATACTTTACAAGGTAGCCTGTTCCTTTTTATTTGAATCCGAAATCACATTGTTCAATCTTTTATTAGGTTATATCGAGGATAAATGTTATTTTGGTTGTACTGTTGGACGAGTAACAAATCGAATAAAAAATGGTTATTTTCAATTAGATGGTATTGATTATCAATTGGAAAAAAATGATAATGCAAAACATCATTTACATGGTGTTTTTAATAAACATATATGGAACAGTTCAACAGAAAATGATGACACAGTTATTTTTAAATATCAAAGTCCAGATGGTATTTATTTCATATTTAAATTTAGTTTAAAATTTCACTTTTAATTATTTTAAAGGAGAAGATGGTTTTCCCGGAGAAGTCGATGTGACTGTCAAATATACATTGACAAATGATCATCGTTTAATTATGGATTTCTATGGCAAAACAACTAAACCAACACCAATTAATATGACGAATCATACTTATTTCAATCTTAGTGGAAATGTAAATTATATATTTGTATTTCATAAAAAAATAATACTGCAATGATTAATAAGAGATAGTTTTAGGAGAATAGAAATTATTAATATCATGAGAAAATGTACTGTTTTTGAATCGATGAAAATTTACTTTCTTTGAAGACGAATGAAACAATACTCGATCATCAACTAATTATATCAGCAAATCAATTCACTCCGTTAGATGAAGAACATATACCTACTGGTAAAAGTCTTTTTATTATTAATAATGATATTATGAATTGAATATTTATTTTAGGACAGATAGCATCAGTAGAAAATACTCCAAATGATTTTCGAAAATTAACTTGTGTTGGTGATCATATTCATGAGATACCATATGCTTATAATGTTATGTTTATTGTTGATGGAGAAGGAAAACGTTCGTTTGGCAAGTAAGTTAGGGAATAATTCTGAATGATAAATTGTTTTTATATCTATTGTACAATAGACTTGTACATTCGAAAAGTGGTCGAGCTATAAATATTGAATCAACACAAAAAGCTCTTCAATTTTATACAGGAACCTATCTTGATAATGTGAATGGACGCGAAGGAGTTATTTATAAGAAATATAGCGGTCTTTGTTTAGAAACACAAAACTATACTGATAGTGTTAATAATCAAGTAAATTAAATTTCATACTTTATGAATCATAGATCAATTCTTTTAGCCTCAATTTCCAAGTACAATTCTTCGTCCTGGTGAAGAATATCACGAACAAACATTTTTTCATTTTTATCTAGAATAATTAATTCATTCGGATAACTAATTAATGATTTTTTTTAATTTATAACAATAACTATTCATCCACATAAAGAATTTTAGTTAATGCTTTAAAATTCATGGAAAATACTTGCCTAAAACAATACGTTTTAACTCTGTATATTTATGGGTTCCGTTTTTCTGAATCGGAGAAAATATTATTTTTAGTATGTTATTCAAATGTATTTTTTTTGCTGAGGATAAAAGCTACGTTTGTAAACTCAAAAATGTCGGATATGTCTATAACTTTAACAGACAACAAAGAAAAAGTATTGACAAAGAAGTCAATGATTTCTCTCTAATACATCAAACAGCGTTATTATTCAAATGAAAGGATTTGTCTATTACATAATACAATATCAAATACATGTAACCTTAAGAGGAAGTATTTATTTACTGAAATAATAAAATCATCTGGTTTATACATTTCATTTTTACAAAAACCTTGTAGAAGTATTTTTGTTTCAGTATCATTGATTATTTTTACTAGCCATGACAATGTGTTTATGATGTTAGAGAACAAAAAATCTACAAAATGGCATACAAACGAAATAACAAGTAATTTGTTATAATCGAAAGAAAAACAACTAGGTATTGAGATTAGAATAAAATCTCTGTAGTATCCGATTTCGATTAAAATCTTATGGTGTTTTTTTTATCTTGCCCTTCGAAATAAAATATTATAAAAGATTATCCAGTGGAATTAGACTAGCAACGACTTCGAATGATATGTGATAGTTTATCTTGTAATAGAATATTGTTAGTTATTATATGTTTCAAAAAAATCTGTTAATCAACTTTACCGAATGCAAACTCTTCTATTAAATATAATTTGTAACGAACTATTCTTGATTTTAATATGTTTATGTAAGTATTAGAATCGAACAGCTATAATCTGTCTTATTGTTTTTTTGTTGTATTCTTTCAGTCATTTATGACACATTGATAACGAGAATTATAGTGACAAGTGCTCACCAGATGTTTTATGACACATTCACTGAAATCCATTATATGACGTCAATAGACTGTCATATTTATCAATTTGTTCTTTGATAAATTTGTGTATTCAAAAACTACGATTAAGCTAATGTATATTTACTATTATGTAACATTGGAACTATATAATTCAACAATACTACTTTACCGGAGAGAAAGGGCGAAATAATTCCGCTATATTTAGATCAAATAGACTCATTTCTTTCTTTTTTATTGTTAATAGAAGATTACTTGAAATTTATATTTATAAGAAAAACATTAGAAAATACCGACAAGAGATTTTACAAGATTATAGAAACAAATATGCAGACGTGCAAAATCTTCCCAAAAATGAAAAATTTCCCTCTCCGGGAAAATTTTTTCAAAAAATTCCTCAGAATCTTCAAAAATTTCCCCAAAAAATGCAATTTTAAAAAAATTTCCCTCCCCGCGCGGGGGCGCACGACGAAGATTCTGCATCTCTGCTAATATGTTTAGTCGGATGATGCTTGTGATAAGTATCATTATGTTCTAACTTCATACTTTCGAAATAGATATTCTTATTTGATCTAAACAATAGAATGAGTTATTTATAGAATATAGTTTTGTATTCATAACGTGGTAAAGATTTCCGATTTATATTCATAGAAAAAAAGAATACTCGAGAGTAATGTTTTTCTTTGTGTGAATATCAACTATCAGTAATCTTTTGTTGATAAGAAAATATTCATCTCATTTGATTACAGTATAACGAAATAACCCAAACTTCTTTCTCAATAAAGTAAGTTTGAAATCATCTTATGTATTAGCAGATATAAATAATATGACAGATCAATAACTTATCGATTAAATCTTTTAAGCTGAATTCATATGATTTATGAATCAAATAATCTTTATATCGATATATTATATTTCTAATTCATGTGGATTTATTTATTTGTAACTGCAGATTTACGTGTAAATACATATTCATCGAAAAGAATAGTTTTTGTTTTATCGGAAGAGATACATAATGTATTCAAATAATGTGTGTGTCTACACATTAGAAATCATGTAAGATTTTATATTATTATATAATTGTATGGAAATTTTTCTTCGTGTGCTTTATTGCCTGAATAAATTGTTTGGTTTTAGAATATAAAATCGAATAGTTCTATTAGTATTTGTTTTTAAATATTGGTTGATTATAGATAGAATTGCAAATTTATGTCAAATAATAATAGTTCGTCGAATGAATATAAATGGTTTCGCTTACTTTTTTCGTCTCTCATATCAAATATCTCCTTCACTATTCCTTTTGTATCCAACGTAAATGTTTATCAATGTTGATATTATACTTATATATAAGAGATAACCTGGCAATCGCTTAAATACTGACTCGAACGATGACTATGAGTTGAATCATCCATTCATAAATAAATTTATCCTTACCTACGCAAACAGGTACACTCTATGTGACTACCTAAGAGCACGTTATGAGAGAACAGTAACTTTACGAGGACATTTATTTTTCATATATTTATTCTTTTTCTAGTTTCGCATGATTAATTCCGTTGTCATTGAATAGGTGACAGTGTCTATTCGACAGAATATTACCAATGATTTTTCGTTATTATATATTATTTGTGTAAAAACTTATGTTAATTGAATTGACAAACGAATACAGTAAGATTTATCAAGTATGTATAAATCCTTCTATATTTTTATTTGATTCATTTTTTACTATAATACCGATTCCACATATTAATAATAAATAGACCATGAATATGTGCTTGAATAGTATTAACATAAATGAATATATTGCTTTATGACTAAAGCAAACAAATATTAGTAAACGATATAAAGAGCTCTTTCTATTTCGTGTAATTAAAATCTTGTCAAGGAAAAAACCATGACTTCAATATTTTATGCTTCCTTCTTCCTACTTTCTCTCTTCTGTTGTCATTTTTCTTTTTTGACGGAAAAAAATATAAATACGACACGCACACATAGACTTATTATAAAGAGAAAAATCGACAAAAAAAATGAGTTAAGCCAGGAATGTTAGTTTGATACACCAGACAGATAGACAACAATTAAATATAGGAAAAAAAGAGAGGCAGATTGTAGTCTTTTTCTTCATACATTTTATATATATGTATGTAATCATAGAGTCCTTTTACTTTCACTACACATAGAATGTACATCATTTTTATTTGTTCATCAAATAAAGAATGAGTTTTCAATTCAATTAGATATTTATACCTGTTCAAATACTCGGAAAGTTATTTACTTTATTATAATTAGATAGAATAGAAATGATTCTGTTAAAATATCTGATTATTATTTAGTTTCAAACTCAAAAAATTTCAATTGATAGTTGAATATGAATTTTTTAACTTATTCACCTCGGTATCTATTTACATACATGAGTCATGAAATTTTCTTATCTTTGTTGATGTAAGCTTACGTCCTTGGATACACCTGTAAATATGACAAATCATACGATTTCTGAGAAAATTTATATAAATCTTTTTTATCGCTTAGAAAGAAAATTTAAGTGCACATAAATCCTGAAGGAGAACAAGAAAATTTTGTTTAATGTCTTGTATATAATTTCAATAAATAGATTTTCTCTTTAAAACATCCTTGACAAGTGAAATCTCTTTAGTAAATACAAGATAATTATATCTGACATTTTACCGATATATAGAAAACCATATAAATAAGGATGTAACATCCCTCCATATAAAACCATAAAAATTTCTTGTAAAATAATTATTCTTTGCTTTCTTTTAAATAGTAAACAATGATTATCCTTCGTCGGCAACTACATCTTTATAATTTGTGCATTTTCAGCACTCTTCTCATGCTTATTACAAGTATATTAAATATTACATATATCGTTCGTCGTTCTGTTTCACATAATAATCATGAGCTTATTCAAACATCACTAACTACTATAACATCAAACACTCAAATAACTAACTCAAGTAATCAAACAAAAAGTTCAAACAAAAACGATGATATATTTCAAGAAACTTATAAAAATATTTTAAATTCGTTTACTGATAATTATATGGAAATATCGAACAAAAAAAATAAATCTTCTAATTATTGTCCAGCTGTACCACCTGATTTACAAGGTCCATTGAATATTAAAGGACTACCGGAAAATTTCTCTCTCTTAGATAAATCATTATATCATCCTGAAGTACAATTTGGAGGTCGTTATCAACCGAAAACATGTTTAGCTCGTCATAAAGTTGCTTTGATCGTACCATATCGTGAACGTTGGGAAATTTTAGGACATTTTCTTTTTCATACGCATACGTTTTTACAACGACAACAACTAGATTATAGAATATTTGTATGTGAACAAGCGTATAATAATACATTTAATAAGGGTATTGTAATGAATGGTTGTTTTAAAGAAATTTTAAAACTCGAACCTAATACATCCTGTTTTATTATGCATGATGTCGATTTATTATCAATTGATGATCGAAATATGTACACATGTCCAAAGTATCCACGTCATTTAAGTGTTGCTGTTGATAAATTTCATTTTTATCTACCCTACGTAGAGTTAGTTGGTGGTGTTTTAGGTAAGAAGAAATAATTATTTCGTTTTTATAAGAATATATTCAAAATTTAAGGAGTGAAGTACTTGAAAAGAGTCCAAGAGATCATCTCTTAGATTTATTTCTTACTGAATTAAGTTAAATTTAAATATTTTCGAGAAGATTTGTTTCATCTATATACGGGTTGATTAGATGAAGACTAATGACTAGTTTTTGATAGGAAGAAGACGTACCGAATCATATATATCAGGGTTTTCCTGTTTGGGCTCTCATAAAGTTTTCATTTGGTCTCATTAAGTGTAAGCTTACTTCATAATTCTCTGAATTTTCAAGAACAAGCTATATGTTCAATAGACTAATCGAAGATCTTCAAATCGTTGGATACTCATGTACTTAAACTTAATTACTTTGGGAAAATATTTATTACAATCGTGTGTCGACACTGATTTTTCATAAGAAATCATTTGTCCGATAATTAGGCAATTGATTTAATATGTCTTTATCAGCTATTTTCAATCATGTAAATCATACCTCTCTATCTTATTTCTATCAAAAAATACTTATGTGATCGGTACATCTGCACATGAAGGGACTTTTTCGAAAATGTATTATTGTGATATTAGCTTAACAACGATCAAATAACTTAGAAAAATAGAGTCTCATTTTCTCTATCGAAGAAGAAAGTTCTATTGGCTTACTATAAGAAAATATGACCTTGACAGGATTGCTTTAGATATTTAAGATAAAAATATTATCTAGATTAGTTATTTCGAATTTTTTTATTCAACTTTGGTAAAGTAATTTTCTTTAAACAATATTTCTTTATAAATACTTGAGCGACTATTATTATTTTTTAATGTGGTTATGAAAATAGTTCATTCTGATTACGATCTCTCGTGATAATTGATTGACAGTCCTATTTCAGTACTAATATCATTGAAAAATTCTTACATGTATCGATCAATCTCAATTACAGAAAAATAAAACA